GCGGATGAGATTGGTGTAATTGCGGAGGAGCTTTGTGTGATGGTGGAAATGCTTGGTGTGATGTTGGGTGAATTTGTTGTGAAGATTGGTGAGCTTGGTGCTGGCTGTATAGACGTCGATTTTGTTATCATTGCTACAAGTTTTGCTTTTATTATGTCTTCTAAACTTAAAAAGGGCATTATTGTCGACTGTGCGATATGGGATATTAAAGGCGTTTCGAAGTTATTTATGTTGCTTGAAACAAATGTATTAAAGCTTGATTCTAAAGAGTTTAAAGGCGAATGTAACTGCACTCTTAAAGTTGATGATGTAGGCTCGATTGAATTTACTACGTTTGACACTGAGCTTGAGCTTTGTTTTATCGGATATAATTTTGAAGACATTGCAATGCTCATTGGGTTTATGATTCCTGTGGATGATACAGGGGGACTGGGTGGATTTGTTGTTGTATATGCTGGACCATTTGTGATCAACGACGATGTGCTTGATGAAATTGGCAGCGAGGTTGTCATCGTATCTAATAGTAGTGTTGGAGTTACTCTTTCAGTTGGTTGTGATGTGCTTGTTAAAATGATAATTGATGGTGACACTAAAGATGATGAATATATACTTTGTGACAGTGAAATGGAGAGTGTTGAAGCCGATGGAGTCATGGATAAGTTTTGAAATGCAGCAGTAGATTTAACAGGTAGTCCTAATTTACTTGAGGGATATGAAGTTAAACCAATTACCGATGTTCCAATTACCGATGATACCACTACCGTTGTTCCCATATTACTGGCAGTTAACGCTGGAGATGATGTGCCTGAAGCCTCTAATATCTGACTACTGGACACTACTGATGACTCAATAGACGCTAACATTGCTGATGTATCTATATCTGCAACACTTGTGATGTAACTTGACGATGAATCTAAGAAAGTGGTCTCACTCGTAGCTACATTAGTCGATTCCACTGCCACTAAGCTCTGGCTCGACGATTCGACCGGTACGGATGTAGAGGGATCGATGGCTACTGCTGTGGAACTGTCTTCAACCAGCGAATTCAATTGTTGATAATCATATGATGTTTCAACCGCTGCTGACGGGATTCTATACGTATACTGTGACACAGAAGACGTACTTTCAATGGTTGAAACCACGTCTTGGAATACGGTGGAGACGTCTATTGATGAAACTGGAATGCTACTGATAGACTCTACTGTACTTGATGGGGGAATAAAAAGAGCCGATGGTATCGCTATTGTCAGAGAACCACACATATCTGGAAAGAAAAGGGGAAATGTTACCCTGTAAGAGTGCCTAAGAGGTAATTTCCAGTTCAATCCTAAACTATCTTTTGAAGTAGTTTTAAGGGAATGTTTCACATTATGAAAAGGTAAAGCATGTATTTGAGAAAGTTTTATGACACTGGTATAAAAAGACTCGATATTGCATTCCGTTGTGTTGTTTTTGGTGAAAAAGAAAAACGTACCCAAAGAAAAGTCATTTTTAATACATTCATCTGTTTCTAAGGAATTGCTCCAATACTCAGCGTCAGTCTTTTTTCTGTAGCCTTTATCACAAACACACTTAGAATTTGTACACACAGAAAATCGAGGACATTGGATTGTTTGTGAGCAATTTTCACCTACAGCTTTACTCGTTGGAAGCACACAGTGTGGTCTATTAGTAGAAGTTGCCCTTACAGTTGCATAACATTCGCATTTATTATTAGTGTTGCAGAATGATAAATACGGACAATCGATTGCCGTGGTACACGACTCGCCGACGAAAGAAACTGAAAATATAAAATGTGGATTTTAAGGAGAAAAGTTTCTAACCAGATGTGAATAGTTTTGGAATATTTACTAGTCTGCGTGTATCTTCTGATTTTGGATCTGCCCAAGAAAAGTAACCACATACCTTTTGTAAGTTTTTTTGTGAAACACTCGTAAAAATGATGTAGGATGATCGTAAAACGTTTAATATTTTTGCAGCAACTTACGCACTTTACCGGAATGTTGTAAATACCTGTTCGATCCGAAAAGTTTGCTTGATTGGTTGACGCTTTTTTTTTTTTGCTAATTACTCACTGCTTGTAGCCCACAAGGTTTTAATGATTTTCCCACCTACCTTTCTTGCATCCAGTATAAAGGTAATTAGGCCCGTTTCCGGATCACACAAACAAACATATCCTTTACAGCTGTTTGGTTTACACGATGAAACTGCCGGACAATCAGAATGGGAAGAACACATATCAAATATATCTGGAATTAAGAAGTCAAACGTTCACATTATTGCAGTGATTACATAATAGGAAGCAGTTTTGTGACAAATTAGTATATGTTGACTATTTTCTTTGAAAAAAAAAACAAATAAGCACTTGTGTCAAAATGATCGCGTTATTTATAACAGTGAAAAGAATAAAAAGATTCACTTGGTTACTAAAGAATATTGTCTAAGTACAATAAGTCATCCTTTATATTCGTAATTTGATATCTTTTTTTTTTTTTTTTTGTAAACAATATTTATTCAAGAATTACAAATATTACAATATACATATAGATAAACATATGGTTTTGGAAACAAGCTTTAAAGCTTATATAAAACCATTTGATATCTTAAAGGTGCTATGGGCAGAATTCTACTTACTTTTTGTGAATACCGGTGTGATGGCCATTGTTATAGCGATACAAATCTGTAAAATATAATAGTGTTCATATATTTTACAAGACAACTATAGGTATATTTATACGTTATGCTTAATTTCAGTGCACCTAGTGCCCTGTCTGGCCTCTATACTTGTTAACCTGTCATGTTTGAAGAGTTCTGGTATCTACGTTGGATCGTTGGATAACTGTTCTAGAGGGTATGGAGATATATGGCTAGAATAATCTTGCTGTACAATCCTGCAAACCAAAAGACGTGTTCGATTTTGGACAGCGATTTTTTTTATTAAGATAAGTAACTGAATACAATCAATCAATTAAATTGGAAGATAAACCTAATAGCCAAACACCAGCAAATTTGTTAATTTCAACACCAATGATCTAGTGACTATGTATTCAGGTTGTCAGTAAATTGATTGATGAGATAAGTTGTATCAAATACACCCATTTTAGGCGTTATACAACGAATGTTACATTTGAAAAAGAAACAAAATTACAAAAATTACAAAATGAAACGAAAGGTAGATATTTCTTATAAATGATTATACATTGTAATTATTCATAGGGAAAGTGTTATATTTATTACAAAAATACATAGTACTAATATCAGAATGCCACAAAGATAAAACCTTTCTCTGTATTCAACTATATCAACAAATATTCATTTTCTTCTTACTCAGTGGAAACACAAATTGCGTTTTCTACAGATTATCAATAACGACCCCCAATAGCATTGGTAACAGGTGAGTTCCCTGGCTCACCCCTCCCTTATATTGTTTATTTATTTATTCATTTTTTTGTTTTTATTTGGGGGGTGGGGGGGGGGGGGGCTTATTATTCATGGCAGATTTGGGGGTACCGTCAAAACCTCCGTAGGGATTGTTTTATACCTCATGACATACATTGAAACAATGCTATATAATTAAAATATGTCGATTGTTACACTTGTCATTATAGTGATGTATTTTACTTAGCTTCGGGCAATTTGAACTCAATTTCTTTTTAGTCTTTTTTTTATTTTTTTTTTTATTTTTTTTTATTCTCAAACATTCTCTTTGAATTTAATTTGAAATTGTTTTTTCAATAGATCAAATTCTATCAACATCTTTGAATTTTTAAAGGACTTGAACTTAGTGCAGAAACTTACGTAATGGACGTAAAACTCCATTTATTTCATTTCCTATGTGTCTGATAAAAAAAAAGTGATACAATAAAAATTCAATTAAAGAATAGTTCAATATATTCAAAGCGATTTTACGGAAATTGTTAAAATTCGTCTCAATATAACTGTTTTATGTTTTTAATCAAAAGTTTCATTCAAGGCAAATTGTAACGTTTTAATGACGTAATATTAATTTGTCAATAATATACCCAAAGACACTTATCATTGACTGTTTTTTATCTTGTAAATTATTTCCTTATTGATATAACAAATTTCTATAATTGTGCACTGGGGCACAGATCAGCGATATACCGCAAATTTGCTAAAATGTTAAATGTGAAATTTTACCTACAATCATACTTTATAAACACAAATGGAATTAATAAAATGTCTTTAATTTTTAGCAACAAAAATCTATTCATAATAATATTATAGCAAAGTAACAGTGTAAGCTGAAAAAGGGTGTCTAATCAATCAGTAAAATAACCGTGTGGTCAATTCAATAACAGAGAAAAAAGAGGTGTTTCGAAAGAGTGGGCGATTTCGTACTTGCAAGAAAACAAGCCTTAAATTACTTTGCCATAATCCATTTAAAATTACGTCCCACAAAACGATGGAAAAGAAGAAGTATTTTGCCCAAGGTCTACAATCTAAAGTCAGTTGAGAATTAATGTTTAAAATGACCGTAAAATGTGATACGCGCGTAAAATGACCAAATTGCTGGACAATAGGGGCTCATTTAAAATTACGTCCCACAAAACGATTGAAAAGAAGAAGTATTTTGCCCAAGGTCTACAAGCTAAAGTCGGTTGAGAATTAATGTTTAAAATTACCGTAAAATGTGATACGCGCGTAAAATGACCAAATTGCTGGACAACAGGGGCACTTTTAAAACATTTATTGACTTTCTTCTAATCTCGTGATCTGCGACTTCACAGTTAACAATTTAGTATATTGGATCGTTTTCAATTTTCAAATAGAATTTAAATTCGTCATTCTAGCTTTATGAAATATTCAGCCCATCTTCCAACCTTTTAACCGTACAAAACTTTATCCTTACCATCATGTACATGAGTCTTTTGATGAGTCGCAATTGGTAGTTGAGCACATTTACGCCAAAACAAAAAAGAAATGAAAAACTTACGTGAAATGAAAATAAAACCATCTTGAATATTGGTACCACAGAGGGCAGTAAAACAAATTTCTTTTCACAATAAAAATCCTTTTAGTATTTAACTCATATATTATCATTTATGAAACATACACTTTCCTGTTTCTTATATACTATTCAGTTTTATATCTTAGCAAGCTCTTTCTTTTCAATTCCCTTTGTTATTTCGAAAAACAAACAGGAAAATTTAAAATATGTTCGTGATGGGAGACTTAAGTTTTTAAAACACAGATGTAGCTGGAGAAGTGGTATAACAAGTTCCAAATAGTTATTAATATCCGAACATCCTCAATATAGACAACGCCTTGGCCTCACCCTTAACATAACTCGACCCTTTTAGACGTTTTTTGTATCAGTTACCGAAAAAAGTTATTCATGTCCTCACGCTCTGCTATCAACGTGAATTAGGGTAGCTTTTCACCCAATCTCGACTTCATAGGAGACACGTTGTGGAGATACAAGATACTGCAGTATTTGTATTGTAAAGTTTGGGATATGGTGTTTACGATTTATATGTTTCATTACTCGAGTGGTGTTTCTGACGTCATCGAGTATCTCGTGAGAACATTTGATGGTATATTTGATCTCCACCACATGTATTCATAGATGCAAAACATTGGCGGAATTAAAGCCAATGAATGGGTCGAATTAAGTTATGAATTGATTGGATTGTGTGGGGTTTGGTGTGTTTTCGCAGTCAATGATGCGACTTTTCTGTACAAATATATCTAAGGAAATCTATATCAATTTAATGTAATGGATTTCAGAATTTCCTAACATCGTTGATCATAAGACAAAATAGAATTAGAGCTTTGTGTCCAAAATTTGTCACCAAGCATAGCATAACAAATCAACATCAATTTTGTGATGGATGGAAGAAACGTAAACTGTATATTCGAATATATTTTGGTCCAAAAATACAATAATTTAATATTTATGCTGAATATTTGTCAACAACGTGTCTCTAAACCAATTTTAATATGCAATTATAATTATGATGTATGACTATGACGAGTGGAGTTAAAGACATTAAAAGATGTATCTATTATTTTTGATCAGAAATAGAATGCTATATAAACTAGGATTGTTCTTACTTTCATTCATTTATCGAGCAAACACCTTCACCGTCATATCATCGATCACATTGTTACAACCAGACTTCCGTATTGACAAAACTTATTTACCACACCCCGAAATTTTGTCGTTTAACCATTATGATATGGGTTGCAGTTGGGTTTATAAATTGAAAAAAAAAAACATTTTACAACTTTATCAGATTTCGAGGAAGGGAGGGTCTGATTCTAGCTGATGCTATGAATGGTGAAGGGGACTAAAAAAAGGTTGGTTTTCTAACTCATATACAACTATACGTATTTTGGAAGTTTATTAGCTATTATTTTAATCATTGTGATTTTCCGCTTGACGTATTTTGTATTTTGATCATGTATAGCAAATACACCAAAACCAAATTCGACTGTTTCTGGTATTATTTCATGGCTCTCACATGTTATCCATTACTCCTCACACAAGCCGTAACTCTGCCAAATTTTTCATGTCACCCCAAATTACCCATTTTGATTCCGTAGACTTTTACTAACTGTGCATTCTGCCTTTTGTAAGACATTGCCTCAAGTTCAGAATACAATGCAGATATAATCCCTTAAGTGATATTTCAGGTTAGAGATCACATTCAAAAAGTGACACAATTCTATATACACTGAGTTTCATTACAAAGTTTACAATATTGAAATTATTATCAAGATGTATTCAGGTTGCATTGGTAACATCAATCAACTGTCACCATATAGTTGATCATGGTCATTATAATTTACTACCACTGGAAGGGTCACCATACAAACTTGGTAATTCCTATAAAGAGAAGAAGAAGCTGTAACTTTATATATATAATGGAGTCAGAATATCAAGGATAGACTGTATGAATGATGTCTGTAAATGACATTTGGCACATCAATCACTGATTAAAGTTTTATTCAACGTCTAAGGTTTGGATTCTTATTTGCGTCTTTATTAGTATCGTTATCATTAAATCAAGAGGTCGGAGGCAGATTAGACCGAATTAAGTCTAAAAATATATCAAGCTTTGAAATCCATTTACCTTAGAGCCATAAAGTGGATTATCAAAGCCACTTCTATCGAAAGATGGTTGAGTTTCTGATAAAGACAAATTAAAATCCTGAATATTCATATCCTGCAAAAATAACACAAGAAATTAATTCGACGATTTAAAGAAGTTTTCTAAACATAAAATACTTGTATCAGCACCACTGATAACATCGATTTTCAGGGGTTTTTGTTTTTGCTTTTGCGAAAGTGACTACATATTCAGTTAAGCATTCCATTCGGAGACATCAGACGGGAAATTGGAATGATGTAAAAAAAAATAAAAAAAGAAGCCGTAAATGACACCGTTGCACACACAAATGTTAGATAGCCATTTAGCGTATCAGAGATTAAAATAGGTTTAAAATAATCTAAGATAGAGGTAGGACTGGGGAACTGTGTGGGGCTATATTTCTTTAACAGTACTTACATCTAAAGGAGCACCATACATCTCATTTGCAAAAGATGTCTGTACAGGGCCTAATTCTGTCATTGTTAACTGGGCACGATCATCAGCTCTGCGTCTTATTGACTGGATATTGTTCAACACTTTATCAACTTGAGTCGTAACAACGTTTCTACAAAATACATCACATATTACAATACTTATGTAAGAAATGTATTTTCGTTTAAAGAAGAAAACTATGGTACCAAAATTCACATGGACTAAAATCTTGGATAACGCACAGCAAAATTTGGTTAAGTTATCCCTAAACCAAACCCTTTACATGCGAGTTTGTGTAAGAGATCATTTCATGGGACGGGACCTCTTTACACCGAAAGATATCACTTTTCATATAGCTTTGTCAGTATAAATGTACAAAATATTAGAACCCAATTTTTCAAGTGTTTGTATAGTAATTAAGTAAAACATACCTGCTATTATGATGTCGAGACCACATATAGAAACCAACTAAACATATCAATGGTATAATGATTACTACAATCAGTATTATAGCAGCAACAGAACCACCACTTAAATTGCCTATAATTTCATATATACAGAGTTATTGCCATTGACTTTTACACTTATATTTAAATTGCATAATTATTGCCCTTGATGTCCGTGCAAAATCATTTAATCAGTAAAGGTCCAATGCCCCTGATTAGCATGTACCTATCAATATAGAGTAATTGCATTCAAAAAACAAGCGGAAACAACCATATTGTAAAAGGGCCATTATTACCACCTATTATTTGGCTTCGTTCTTTTGAGATTACCTGTGCCTGTATAGTTGGGTCGACTGGGGTAATGAGAAAAGGATCCTGAACAACGCAAAGTACGTTGCGATCGACACATGCTTATTACCTCCATTCTCGCCAATACCACTTATAAAACTTGATTGAAATTAAAACCCGAGGATGGCAATAATGCATCTAGACGTCAACATCAATACGTACCTCCGCCAGTATGGGCAGACGTTGAACCAGGACCGGATGTAGCCGAACCAGAAACAGCTAGGGACACCACCGAAATAGCGTACTTATGTCCGCCATTTGATAGATCTGGAAACGATACCGTCAATAATACAAATATCGACATGTAATAAGAAAGGAAAAGTCTGTGCTGCAAGTTATAGATCCATAGAAAGTCGGAAATCGTAGGTCAATCCTGCTGAACTGGAAATATATATTTGGCCGATAGCCGTCCATCTTTGCACAAAAAACTTCATTTTATGTTCGTTGCACGTGCATGTCAACTAAAAGCGAGTTATCTACCTTTGTCCATATCAGCCTTTATAGTCTTGGCTATTTTGGAGCTTGTTTCACCAGTTTTGTCTTTCATTACGATCTGTACCAGGTTATCATCTACACTCATTCGTGACACCAGTACATCTGGAACTATCTGAATTCAGAAACAGGGGCAAATTAACAGCAGTATCTTATGTTGAAAAGTGTTTCGGAATTAAATTGAAGAGCTGTTGGTACTGAGCTGACAGTTATAATGCTGCTTTAAAGAGATAAAAAGGTGGAAGATAATTATATGGTTTCTGTTTCTGAAAGGGTGAAATTACCTTAGGTGTTGGTGACAGAAATTGTGATTGTAAAATTTCTTTCAATTCGGTGATATTGAAGCCAGTATCGATTTTAACATTAAAAGTAGCACCTGGAACAAAACATTTCATTATGTAAACCGAAACCGTCTCCGAAAAGTGCCAGATGTCAACTTTTGATGGGACAAAAAGCTTCAAATGTGTAGTACAAAGTCCAAAAAGTTCAACATTTCTTTTTTAACGAATGTCCAGTCTATTGTTAAAATGTGATACGATGTGACATTGTTGTGTACTGCAATTTATTTCAGAAATCTCAAAATCTAGCATCTGACATTGGAATCAGATAGTCAATGATATCTGCTGGGTGAATTTGAATCAGAACGTTGATTCTAATACAATACATTCATTTCAAAAAGGGAAAAGGGAGATAATTGAGATTTATCTCTAAAATATACCAAATATTTTCAACACTTACCACAGACGGAGCAGCAGGCACCAAGGGGAGTTAATGCAGATTTACATCTAGCGCGTTCACATCTATCTTGATATATCTTACAGATTTCATCCAATATCTACAGCAAAACAGGACAAAGAATGTTACAAGGGACATAACCGTGTAATACTAATATTTTATTGTGACCACTGAGGAACGATTGGCAAGATTATCATGTATCACTAATAATCAACAGGACTGGTTAGGTACTGATAAAATATACATTGCTGCCTCAAGATTCAAATAGCTTACATCAAAGTGGTTGGACATTTAGATTTTATGACTGCACAATGATAATGAAGATTATATTATACTTTTGGGTTATTCAGTAAGTTTTTCAGTTGCATCTAATAGATTCCCTTGGCCATTGTTCACATCGGACAAATAAATTCGAAGCGCCGATGCCCTTATAAAATGTATAATCATGATTTATTGATAAAATCAAATTGTCGATAAAGAAATTATGACATTATTATTATTGCAGAATTTGCCTTATTTTCCATTTTAACGTAATACATCCGACAATAAGTATGCAAATGAAAAATAGACCAGCATAAACATTCTATCATTAAAGTAATACAGTACCTGAGGTTGATCATTACCATAAGAGCAACCAGACTTCGGGGTTCTACAGGTCGATCTAGTAACGGTGACAGTAGACTGAGTACCAGCTCCAAGCTGAGGCGGTGGAAACATCCTCGTTCCTTCAGCACTTTTAGCAAACGTTGAAAATGAACTCGTAGTTAAACTCTGTAATCAAAGAATTAAATATCCAAATCATTAAAACCAAAATAAGAGTAAATTTATACTGGAAATTGCTCACGAATCTGCTGTTATATTATGGATCATTTGGATGTAAATAACTTTTCCCCCGGACTATGGGACCGCAATCAAAAGTTTTTTCTGCAACTTTCCAAATCCATTGTCAAGTTACTGACTGTCTATTTTGCTTTTCACTACCCGCTTTTGACCAAACCTGCAAAATCATAAAATATTTCCTCCTAAGGGAACCATTGCATAATGTTCTACCTTGCTGATTGGTTGACATACTTTATCTGATGACACCGTCTTCATTAGCCCACAAAGTGCAGAAAAGTAGGACGTAATACTCCCTTTCTGATGACAATGAAAATAATGATAAAATTCATACTCACACTTCCAGATATTTTCAACGATTTTACTTTATAATTTAGATTCACACCAAGATAGACGAAGAACGATTTTTCTGTGGGAAAAATAACATCGTCATACGTTCCAGGTACCCGCTCCGACTCTAGTTGAGGTGTGTTCAAACATTCTCCCATTTCTGTGGCTGTCGTACACCAGTTGTCAGGATCAAGCCAGTCCTTTGGACCTCGGATGAACTCGAGTTCTAAAAAAAGGCCAAAGCTTCAATTGCAACTATCGGAATCGAGAAGTCTGCTGACCAGGGTGTGAGATAGACTAGGGAATTGCTAATACCTTACTTTCTAGAAGACGTTAGTGCGTTTATATGGAATTGCGGGATCTGGTATGCAAAACATAACAATAATTTGTGATATAAATTGCCTACAGCTCTTCTGAAACTGAAGTCACAGTGTTCGGATACACAAGGTGTTCGGAAATTGGGATAACCTTCCAGGAAACAGAAATTTGTTGCGTATCGATTGTGACTCGGTGACCATGATTGTATGATCTTTGAATGGCATTTAGTAAAGGTGTTTATGACCATGATTGTAAGCAGGGAAGTTCTGTCATTGAGTTACAGTGCAGATAATTGTACGTTTAAATATTTCTTGAAAATTGACACAGAAAAGAACAGAAAAATACCCCCTTCTGCATCTGGACATTGCTCGGTATTACGAACACTATCAGTAAAACTCAAGATTGAATTCGCTCCAAATATAATCTCTCCATTCATTGGCAGCCACTGGAATAATAAAACTAATATAAAGCTTATCTGTGATCCCTTAGATTACATAGAGCTTAGTATGAAGAAATGATATACTCATAGGAATGCTAGTCGAGTGGAATTTTAATGATTTCGGTCACTCGGATCAGAATTAGCTATTCATATTTTGTCTAGTTTAGAATGGTTTAAGATTGGTAGCAATATTAAAACAGAATTTGAAACATTTTTCAGATTCTGTCTTCTTTTTTCTAAATCGCTCTACTTGTGATGTATTGAACACTACTGAACATCGGTATTTCTATCGCTCTATAAGTGATGTATTGAACACTACTGAACATCGGTATTTCTATCGCTCTATAAGTGATGTATTGAACACTACTGAACATCGGTATTTCTATCGCTCTACAGGTGATGTATTTCCCTATGTACAGTGATTAGAAATCGAAAGAGGGTGGAACAAACCGGGTCCCTATTTAGCTCCCTGGATCCCCCCTCACATTCCCACATACACCCTCGCCCGCCTCTCTTACTCACAGACTCACCAGTTCCTTCATAGTAGAATTAGTCTGAACGTAAACAGTAGGACTGAGCGATTCTCCATTAGAAAACTTCACTACATCGCTACCACACGGTACTCGACCTACATTCCAATTATCGCTGTTTTCAAAATTAGTATTAGGTAACCATCTTTTATATAAACCTTCAACTGTTACTGTAACGATATATGGAAATGTAAGAAATTACCGAATCCAACAGTTTAACGTAATTATAACTTACCATGAAGAAAACGCGAAGAAAATGACAATTATTGTTGCTTCTAAGTCATAAAGTAATTTCCATTGCATAAAATGTAAGGAAAGTATTGAAAAAAAAACTTACCAAAGTTTAAAGAACATAGGAAACCAGAAAATATTAAAATACAGTTCATCTTTAACTGTCATAAAGTCAACACTATTCCTGCTTGAACAATAGGTATTTATTCAACACCGCCCCTTACTTAATTAATTATTCAGTTTAAACTGCTGATAACAATGTAATAAAATAGGGGATTCAATTTCACTAGAAAGATAACTACTATATTATAATGTTATGGTACGGTCATGTTAGGGATCTCTCGTCGGGGACTAAATAATGCTTTAAACAGTTTTATAAATTGAATTTTAGTATTTTAGGTTTGAAAACTGTAATAATCATAGTATATAGGAGTAATTTCTATTTGAGTCCACCAATACTTTAACAGTTACATTGGCAATTATAATTTCAAAGGTATTGATTGCTTCCTTCAATTGTCGTCGTATTGACAGATTTTCATAAAATGCAAACCAAATTTTTGTTTGTAGTTCAGAAGACATTAACCGGCAGTTTCCGTAGAGCTAAATATATGTTTCAAAGTGATAGCACAAACTTCGTGGTAAGTGTTTCCACTCAAAGAAGCTGCAAGATAGGTTCGTGTCATGTATTTCAGGTAGCATTTATGGAAAAGGATCAAATATAATAGTATACCATAAATTATGTTTTGTTTATGTATGCCACATGTAGCCTCTTGCGAAGGAAAGCTGATATATAAAGGACTACATGTATATCACTTTATCCCTTTTCATGTGTTATTTATGATAGATATATGTCTTCAATCTCAAGCGAACAATAAGCTAGAGAAATACACGATAAAACCCCAGATAATAGCTCATTGATTGTTGTCCTTGAAGTCAATATGTTCTCTAAGACAGTTCAGAATGAAAACACGTTTCCAGTCTTATATGACTATCGTTTATTAATGGTTCTGAGCTGACAGTCACGTCATATTCAGTCCTAATTCAACGACTTTTATCTTGATTTTCCAGTTCCGTTCTTATCCTGCCATTGCTTCCTCATTAATCAGAATAATATCTCGAACGTTAATCAACGATAATAATGATTATACTATGAAGGGACGTGTTAAATGTTTCCGGTTCTGACATTTCAAAATCTGTTTCTTTAACCCTTGTCCCTTGAATCAATTACTCCAGTAGAGTTCCCAACACGTATCGCTTGTAGGCACAAGAAAGAAAGACACAAACAGATTTAACAAACCGACCGAAATTAGAATCCACGAAAGGAAAAGTTTAAGATTTAGTGGTCGCTTTTTTTGCTCCAGGTCAAATTTGCATGATTTGGTAATTGTAATGGAAGGTACCTAAGTGTTGCAACAATCATTAGGTCTTTCTATTATTTCGATGATTTAAATAAAAACTCTTGGGGTATGTGTTCAGAGGAACATTGGAAAGAGACGTCACGGAGTTCTCTATTTCCCCACCCTTATTGTTTCTCACCCTTAGTCTCGCAATTCTCTGAAACGAACCACCTTCGATCATAACAAGGAGTGGCCCTTGGGACCCTAGACAATACTCAAATTCCAATTGCAAAACCACCATCGGCACAAAGGATCATCTTGTTAATCTGCTGTTCAAATGAGTGTCTTCAATGAACGGACACAAGTCTTGCTCTACGACTCTCCAACAGTTTTCCAGGCTATTAAAATAATAGGAAACTGCCGGTGTTCGTTCACAATTAATGATAATCTTTATTAGCCAATTAAAACTTGGGAGTTTTCCCCAATTTCCTGTCTTCCACTCTTTAATTGAAGTAATTTTCCAGGTCATGAACTTCTGTATTCTGATGGTTACATGTTATCTTCTCAACAACAATGACAAACAAAGTCTAAAAGTATGCGCGATGGGAATATATACAGGGATTGTAACGAGATTTTCCAAAAATTTTGTGGGTGTTGGTGAATAATGTGGCTTCTATTTGCATCATTTCAATATTGCGTCAGAGGTCATATTGGTGATTCGGCGTAGGCCCTACTCACCTCATGCCTTTCAGGAAGAAGGCATATAGATCTTGACTTCTAACCTTCCATTCTAATTCAATACTAAAATGTAATAGCAAAAATGTGACTACGAAATCTATTTTGATCTAACCCGAATCGTAGGCGAATCTGACGTCTGATGTACGTTCTGATAAGTAATACTATACTGGATTGATTTTTAATGTTTTGTTTTGTTCCAACAAGGAAATTTATCTTTTACAGAATGGATTTCTAAAGTTAATCTTCCTGTCAGATTATATTTTGTCATATTTTTTCTCAAAAGAGAATTTATCTACGGAAGTCATCAAAGAGCTTGGGGGCAGATTAATGTGTTTTGGTTCCGCAATAATATGTTTTATTGCGAAGTCTTTTTAAATTACTTCCTTCTTTTCGACTTTGTTTTTGTTTTGGGTTTTTTTTCATCAGAGATATACTAGTAGACCGTAAAGGTTCACATGATTATTGATTCCGATATCTATGGAGTGAGTATTGTAGGGAATTTTTTTAAAAACAAATATAGTGCTTTGTACAGAAAACTAGCTTGATATTATATATTATTTCTATATATTTATAATAATTTCAAAAAATAGAACACAGTGGGTCGGTGTCATTAGGCTTACTAGGTTTTTTGGATGCGTCGGTAAGGTTTAGTGGTTGGAATACAAAATATATCTCAGAAAAATAGCGAATTTAACACATCACCTTCCTCTACACCCTCACCCCCCTTTAACAATTTCTAACTAAAATCACTGTTCCACTCTGACATTTTTTAAATTATTGTCTTTTTTTTATCCTTTTAAACTTTCAGCTTACACAAGTCAGAACTCTTGAATAAAATATAAGATAATGTGAGGATGATATTTGAAGTCTTATAAACTCAATAAATAATTCTCATAGGCACGAGATTTCTTAAGTGATATATTTATTTCCGTCTTTTATAGATTCCTATGAAAGTTCTGCCTGTAATTTCCTGTAATTCGCTCGGCCATTAATATTAAAATTATTTAACAATAATGATTGAATTTTCTATGCTGCAGAGAATTAAGATAAAATGCATTAAAGTGATTAGTACTGCGTTGGGATATGATTTATCTTGAGGGGATTGTTCGAATTATCCTCGAATCGTATTTTACCTATGTAGATACGTTGAAACTGATGATTTTCGCTCAGCGCACACTCAACACTTTAGTTCGTAATATTTTTGAACGCATTAGTTCTATCTTCACCGCTTTGACATACGCTATCTATGTCTTCATTAGCCCAATTTCAGTTTCATTCAAATGCTATCAACAGGGACTGTCACTTTAAAGTTAATGCTTTCAACAGAGACAGTCACTCTAAAGTTAATACTTTCAACAGAGATAGTCAATTTAAAGTTAATACTTTCAACAGAGACAGTCACTCTAAAGTTAATACTTTCAACAGAGACAGTCACTCTAAAGTTAATACTTTCAACAGAGACAGTCACTCTAAAGTTAATACTTTCAACAGAGATAGTCACTTTAAAGTTGATACTTTCAACTGAGACTGTCACTCTAAAGTTAATACTATCAACAGAGACAGTCACTCTAAAGTTAATACTTTCATCAGAGGCAGTTTTTTAAAGTTAATACTTTCAACAGAGACAGTCACTTTAAAGTTAATGCTATCAAGAGAGTAATTTGTTTAAGAATAAAAAGGGACAATTTGACGCCTACTTAATTCTCTAATCTGTCATTTCTAATCTACGATATCAGATCTGCATTATATCATATAACCTAAAACTTACTTCGTGCTTCAAGGATCTAAGAGACTTTTTTTCCTTTTCGTGTTTCTTCATTCAGTTTCAACAATTTAAACTTGTGGCTATTTACAGAAATTATTACAGAGCTAGCAAATAAGAGAGGCTGTCGAAGGGTTATGGTTATTTAATTATTCGCTTGATCATTAGATGCAACATAGAACTTTATAAACCGATTTAAGATAACCGATGCAGTGTTAGTCGTAGACGTTTTTTGCTGCTCTGTACGTAATTAATTTCTGATAGAGATAGTGGAATGGGACTAAACCGCTCTCAGATGGAATAGAGGACGTGTTCATGGCCCTGCACTCACTTTGATCCACAAAGAAAACGAACGTCACCCAGCATCTAGTCCTTGATGCAACTACTTGATGGAACGAAAATTTGTTTAATTTTGATTAGATTACTTCAGAATATTTCCGACAATAAGGATAAATATACCCATTGCGCTTCCCACTTACATACCACGGTGGTTGATAGGCTACAATTTACTATTCAACAGAAGCCACTGATACAGGGTTAAAGCATGGTACACAGTAAGGGAAAGCCACTAAATGTGACGACTTCATCAGAATATAGCAGCGGCGCAATACTTTTGTAACACTGAATCTAATTGGTTCAAAGAAAAAGGTTCGACCAAACAAATTGAGTGATGAGAATATTGTGTAGCTGTTTCAAGGTCAGGGAGTCTAGCTAGATCGAGGTGAACTCCACCAGTAAGGTTTAATTCGATCACAGAAATAAAAAAAAATATGCATGCTAGCTGGATAGGAATATCTTGCATTCGGAGGTAATGAGTATAAAATCCATCAAGACATCAACCTCTTTCTGCCTTACCAACATAATAAAGGCCGACAGTAATCTGAAAAAGGTCACGCTTGTTTTATGTACCCTACGAATTTTATGCAGATTTTTTAGCTGTTTTACGGTTGTACTGTTTTGGCTTTTATACAGGTCACTTGCGTTTTACATGTCTTACGATTTTTTATGCAGATTAACGATACACGAATAGTATTTTAGGAGAATATTATTCAAATATTGTAATGATTTCTCATAGATTTCATTGATTAATTGACGGATCTGACATTTGGTCGAAGATTGATTTCATATCCATTGTATACATGAATAAAGGATACTTGTTAACATATGTATTAGCGGAACCTTTGAATTGTTAATCTTCATTGATCCTTAGTCATTAAAGTACATTATTCTGGACTTTCACGAACCCCATCTTCTCAATGTTAAGCCGTTCCGAACTTTCTCTTATACCTTGACTCTAATAGACACCTTTCTTACATTTTTTCTGTCAATTGTTTTGATTGACTGTATTTGCTGGCGTACAATCTAATCAAATCGCTACATTTCGTGTAACAAAAATATGGCTATTGCAGTCGAGGTGTAAGACAAAGTTCGTTACAGATTGACATTGTAAAGATGCCTCCCTATCTATCAAACTCGAACATAATTTTAGGTTTGCATTGAATTCCCACTTTATTACTAGCCCGACTTATCGGGCACTAGGCTACATGCACGAGTTCCTCAGACGTGATATACGGTTGTGATGCCATATCGGTAGGGTGGTGACATCACATCCGTTTCACTTTTGCTTTCAGTGGTTAGCTATACGAGGGTGCATTGTTAAGGAGGACCATGCTACATTCAGTAAATATTTTTTCTGAAAAGTTAAAACATGTCCATATTTTGTTGCTGGCTCTATTTAATTCACATTCTGGTCATAGACGAACCTTTCTTATAACAATTGTGCGTAGAGGACATTGCTAATATTCGAATATTTGATTGTCCTGTTTACCAGATCTCTTCGGAAGCCTTAATTCAGTTTTAATCTTTTGCGAACTACCTAATTAGAAAGCCTCGATGGTAGCTGATCAGATCAGACGTGTTATATGAATGGAGTTAAAGTGTTAAAGTGATGAATATTGACGATTGTGAACAATAATTTATGGATACACCATCACTTCTCTATCATCCATTTGCTTTTTAATTAAATATAGTGTATGAATAGAAGGCCATGTCTCAATAGAGTCTTTGACAGAAACGCATTTAATCTATCAAATATGGCAGCATTGGAAGTTTTTAATATCCCGTGTGGTCGTTAAGAAGTGTCAGCCATATACAACATGAACAATATATCAAATGAATTAAATTCTAATCTGTATAGAGAACAAACAGTATTAAGAACCTTTCCTTCTATGAATGCCTTCTTAAAATTAGATTTTGGTTGATTCCTTCAGAATAATAATTGTGAGAAGTATAATATGGATTAGGCTCAATTTGACTGAAGTGGTAAACTTTATTTTTATCATTCTTATTAAAAACAGATTTCTCTGAAGCTTTCAGTTTTTTTTTATCTTTTAAATTAGAAAAAAGTCTCTGTATAACGAAAGAAAAATTAAAGAGCTGAAATTTAATCAGGCTGAGTTTTTTTATGAAATCGTTATATTATGAATTATATAGTCTTATAGAAAATTGATGTTCATATAAGATAAGTTAAGATTATTAAAGCTATCATGTTCTCATAAAAAAAATCCTATTCTTATCTAGGTTGATAACAGTAAGGACTGATATCTATATTTAACGACTCGAAACAACATCTAAAAAGTTGGATGTTCAGTGTACTCTGTGAATTGCTGTGAACATATTGCGCAAGAATCTGAACAATCCAACATATTTTATTTCCCTGTTTTGTCGCTTTGAGTAAGCGAACAACGCTATTGCGTTATAAATTGTGTTAATGCAACCAGTTTTTGTCTATATACGGTGTGTAACGTATGTTTGCCAAAAAGGTTCCGAACAAGGCCTTCTGCGTGCTCCGTATGCCTTGCCACGACGCATTCTGCACGTGCAGTATAGAAAAATTCGTCATGGTGGTATTAATCTACTGTAAAATATTTAAAACATCCCAGATGTTGCAGTGAGCATTAAATAGGGATCTTGATTATATGAGGTTATTATGAATCAAAAAGACACAAAATGATAAAACTCTTGGACTCTGTTGCCATTTTAAACATGAAAAGAAAGTATTGTAGCTCTCAAGCTGTGCGTGACACTTCGGCAGTTTCCTGATTACGTTGACATCTCAATAAAATAGAGGAAACCAAACGGAATAAATGCTTTATTTTTATTTTTCCACATGGAAGAATGTTAATCATAGGTTTAGTACACTTGATAATTTGCTATCTTATAATCTTAATGATTACTTCTATAATTTCATTAATTTGACAGTTGAACTCACTTTTAATTATATTGTAGCCTGTAGGTTAAGGCACCGTCCATTCATTTTCCAATTGAGACGTAAAGTCGACTTAATTTGTCCAGTTAATTATTTTTAATAATATAATTCTCTCCACGTCTCTCTAGTGTAATGGTCAATTGATTAGTCGTGTTCATTGTCGACATGCCGATAGTCGTAGAGTCTAAATCACGAGCTCTCAATCGAGGTGAATGTTCTTCCCGAATATTCAAATTTCGGAAACCCTTCTTCCGGAGGTATTTGTTACTGCACCATTTTCCAAGGTCTTGCCGGATATTGGTGTTAAACCAGCCATACACTACTGGATTGATACACACCGAGAGGAAAGCAGTCAACAAGCAAACAGCGTGGATCAATGGAAAGTTGAGTTGAGTAAAGAGGTGGTAATCTATATCAGCTAGTAAATTCACTAGGGACATCGGTAACCACGTTAGAGCGAACGCTACAGCAATTGTAGTCAACAGTATCATGTTCTTTTGATGACGAATCACGTGACGTCTTACCCTTTGTATCTCCCTCTGCGACTCTTGAGCCGTGTGTACACGTGTCTGTAGAAACCTGCAGATCTTTAAATGTAAGGTCAAGATCGCCACAGCTGGTGTTAGATATTGAATTACTAACACGGAGATAGTATAGCACCAAAGTGATTCTTTAGATGTCCATTTCTCACGACAAATTGAATATAACACGTACCCTGTAATCCCGTAGGCATCTTCCATTTCATGGGCGAAAAATAAAGGCAACGCAAATGATATGGAAATAATCCAGATAGCCGGAAGGATATATTTAGTCCGACGTTTCTGATTGTTGCGACTACTGGAACAAACGATCGCTTGATGTCGATCAATTGCAATACACAATATCGTGAACGTAGAAACAAAAACGTAAGTAGTTTGTAACGTTGGTACGAGCTTGCACATAAATAGTCCAAGTTGCCAATTCTTTAACGTCAACCGCACCAACATGAACGGAACACACAAAACGCAGGCGGAGATATCGGATATGGCAAGATTAAATAGGTACCAGTTACGGGTTGACTTTAAGGCACGACTGCGACATATTACAACACAAACTATAATATTTCCAGTCAATCCAGCTAGAATAACGACACAGAAACACAGAATTAGAGTCAGTTCCTGTCCAGAATTAAACCAGTGATCTGTGTCTTTATATTCCACTGCCACTTTCAGGAAGTCTTCGAGAGTATAGTTCATTGGTAGATCAAATGTTTCGGGTAAAAACCAAGTTAAGTCCTCATCTACAGACGAGTTCTCCATTTTTTTAAATTGTTAAAATCAGAAAAATTTGTATGATTTCACCCGCTTCTTCCACTAATTCCAATGTGTTACTGAAGTGTTAAAATCCTTTTTAAAAAGGGCTGATAACTGGATTTTATACTAAATAACACACGCACAACAAATAGGTTTTTGACATTTCCTTGACAGCCATTGTATTCCTTCTAATTGTCCTTAAATTACTAGCATATGAACAGAGCCTCGTGTTAATTTCTCATTCTTCTGAAGGACATCTTGACTTCTCTATGTACCACTGTCGTTTTACTTGTTGCTAAACAAGATAATGTTAGTAAGAAAGTTACAAGAGTTGTTCTCAGAATATACTATGTCTTACTGTAGATCTTTACCAGTAGGGGTGAATCAATTTGTTCCTGAAATGAAATTAAAGATATTGTAAAGTTAATTAGTGAGAATCTCTTCACCTACTTACCATAGTACCTGGAGCGACCATACAAATCATACAAACCCCACAAAGGATTATAACAATCTGACCAACTACCAACTACTACGACTACCAACAACTACCTAGTTTGCGATATCAGCATCTGTTGGAAGCGAACGTTAACTTGTCATCTAACTACCTACCTACCATAACAATCTGATTAAATTTAGATCAGTTCTTAATCAGATGTGTATTTTGAACCATAAAAAACTTTTATATGCCACCAAAGTTCCTCCAATATTCAAAATAGCTATAAAACCTGACTTGTTTCAATGTGTACAGACTCCGCTTGGTATAATGCAGGTCAGCCAGGATGCGCTCAGGATTCATTGGTGATCACTCTAATTTAAATTCATGGTTGTATTTTGCGGATTCCAGCCGAAAGCTGTAGCCAGTAAAGTGAAGGACAAAATCTACGACTCAGTTTTAACTTATGAGTTACTTTGACACATAAAGAAACGTTGAATCAATAACATTTACATAACTTCCGTTTAAACTTCTATTAAATAGAGATTATTGACAAATTAGTTTATCTGTTATGCAATATTCTAATTTAGGTTGTATTGGTGAGGATCTTGTTTAATTTCTGGTGAAAGAAAAAGGCGTGCCATTCAGTTTTTGACTTATGATAATGATAATAAAATTGCTAAATTCACTTTTGTACAAACAAATACGAATCTGGGAACCATTAAATTTTAGCGGATTTACCAAATACATGAACAAGCTCAATACATAGCTGATAGATCTATGAGACCGAAGCATGTGAAATCTATTTTTCTCTTAATATTGAATAGGCTCTATATATAATAACTTGTATATCTGGAATAACAAGTTATAAAACTCGTATAGAACGGCAAATTCTAATCTCTACTTCACGATTTTTATAGAAAAACATTTTAGAAATCTACTAGTGCATAATACTGTAAAGATCAACACAAATCTTAATAAGAATGAGTTTCAATAATGTTTAGAGTATATTTTTTTGTTCAATGTAATGCAGGCATCTCGTATTACTTTCATCTTTCGAAAAACACCATTATTGCAAATTATTCTTTATCGTCTTGCGTTAAATATCAGATGCTCGAATTGAGGTTTTGATTCCAGCAATTAAATGTCTAAAATAAATACAGATTACGGTATGCGAGCAATTTCCTATTCTTTGTTTGATATTCCTGATAAATACAATCAAATACAGAATAAAACAGTCCATGAATTGTTCGAATCTTGACAGCAGATTATCTAGAATTATTAGGTGATGCTGATGTGTTGGGCAATGATTTTGTTTATAGGGACAGATTCGCCTTTTTCAGTGGTTCAAATTTAGACGGTGAGCTGTGAACACTATTACTGATTAGCTTAACTAAAGATATCCCCGTTTCTGAGAACGATTGTTCAAACGGATGGCGAACCTGTCCGTTTAACTTCATTTATTCATTAATTTTCGTAATTTTCAAACTTTTCAATATACCAAAGCCATGTTAAAGGAACATTCCGCGTTTTTGTAGGTCGATAACGACAAAACTTTACATAAAAGGTTACGTAGACTTTTAATATTCGTTATGCGTTTTGCAAGCCGTTAGAAAACTACTGTACGAATAAAAAAAAACTGCCTAATTGTAGAGAAATATGTTGCCTTATACGTTTTCAGGTATACTTTACGACGTTTTTGATAATGAAAATGTTTTACAAAAAAAGCGGAACACCCCTTTAAACGTTACTTCATTTACAGAGCAATCTCTTTATCAATAAGAATCATTTTTATTGTCTCTATTGCATGAGAGCATCAAAATTATACAATGAATATTAATATCACTGAATATTTCCCCTGAATATTGTAGATTTTATTTTTTGCGTTATACTTACTAGTAGAGTTTTGTTGTGTAAAAACCATTAATATAATCCAGTTTTGAATTGTTTTTTTTTTCATTTTGCAATAACTTTTCCAAATTTATTCCACCAAAATTACGGCAATTGAAAAAGAGATTGCGTTAGCACTCACTTCAAGAATATGTTTGTATAGATTGCACACGAGACGTTATTATCTTGATGTTTATTTCAAGAAAAGTATTCCGGTTCTAAATTGTCAAACTGTCAAACTACTTTCAAAATTACTGCCTAAAACAAAATTTTACAACATTCACGTCATTTGTCAGTAAAAAACATTTAGTTGTCCTCTTTACAAGAAGTTGATTATTATTATTCCAAACTATTTCAGCCCTTTAGGAATAAAGCTGTTTTTTCTTCTCCCTCAAAATAATTTTCGATAGTAATAGCTCAATATATGTAATAATTATAATAAACACTCTTGCTAACTTTAACTACACATCTTGAAGTCGATTAGAAGATTATTAGAAGACCGTAGAATCCTGCGTGAAGAATTCCATGTCAATCATACTATTAACAACAACTGACAGTGGTTTTAACGTTGGTTACAGACAAGTTTTGCCTCCAGGATTCGTTCCATTGACGATCAATAAACGCATGGAAGAGATATCCAGGAGGCTGTGGTGATACAAGTTTTCTTTCGGTTCAACTTGCAACTTATAGCTGTTGATATATCTGTGCTTTTATTGTTGTTTGTATTTGTTGCATTTTATCAATTTGCGTTTGTGATGAGGTGGGGTCATTTCTAAAATCATACAGTATCAAACATTTTGATAGTATGGTAAAGAATGGCAATGGTAGAATTACCTCATTATCTCAGAAATTAGAAATTCTGACAAGTAGCATTTTAAATTAAATGTAAAACTCCTTAGGAATCAAGAAACATTTCTCAGCAATTTTCAGACATTGTGTCCACGGCAAATTGAGCATGTCAGACAATGCCATGACATTTGGCCTGAAGCACTCTTCATTAGCACATTTCAGAAGAACTGGAAGTAACTGCAGGCAAATGAAAACGTTCTATTTTGAGAAGATGGCGGTCATTCTTTACTTGAGGTTGTTGTGGTTTCTGGTATTTTTCCCCCGAAGGTGTCTGTTTTCATTAAGAAATCCTGGAAGGATAATAATGTATCGGCTGTTTTTATGCTTAATGTAAAATTGGCTTATTTTTGTTATTGTTATTTTAGGGCGAATTGTCCTGGTTGGTCGATCTGTCTTTTTGGTCGATTTGGCATAATATTTCTATTTCTGGTTCTACATGCTGAGGCTTGTGGGTATTAAACGTTGCCATCTTTACTTCCGGTGGATTTTTCATACATACGTTCAAAGTGGTCGGAAATTGTCCATTAGCTTTGTTTGTCATGAACCCTCACAAGATAGATATCATCGATGCATTAACAAATAGCTCAGTATAGCAGAATTTGGGCCTGTTCGTTGTTGACGCACATATTTGTCCGAGGAATTGCTGCCGTTGAGTGCTTAACAGGGACGGTATACAGTGATCTCCCCTTTCCTTGCCTTGGTCTTTTGAATTTCAAGCCCATATATATCAGCATGGCCATCTCTGTTTAGTACGGATATTAATACTTGGTAGCCCTACCCCAATGAATTAAGTACTGTCATCAAACCACAACATGACAATAAAAGGAGACTCTTAATAAATGCAGTTGAACTTGGCAGAACTTCAAGATGGCAGGCTATAGAAAAGTCGGTGATTTCTTTGAGGAAGAGATGAACAGGTTGAAAAGGAGAGAAAGAGAAATTCAAGAGGAAGTTTATCGAGAAAGAATGGAAGATAAGAAACAAAGCCAGATGTATGATATTGATGAGATAGGAAGCCGGTCCAGAAGAAGTGGAAGCAGAGATTCAAGTCTTGGGAGTAGGAGTTATGATATTGCACAAGAACTTGAAGAGGAAAGAGGGAGGAAAAGACAGATGGCTGAAGAACTTGATATTCGAGAGAGACAAATTCAAAAGACAAGCGAGTTACTAGAAAGACAATCCAAGATGCTAGCAAATCTTGAAGCAAATGTATTGGGACCGAGTCAAATGTCAATGCCATATCTTATGGGACAATGTCAAACCTCGATGTATAATCAGTTGACTACGAGTGTCTATCAACAGTCTATCCACACAGATTACCAGTATTCACAGCAGTACCCCCCAATGAATCCAGTTCCTGTATTAAATACAATAGTTCCACCATATTATCAGTACAATCAACCTAACACCACCTCTGATGTATGTTATAATTCTACAATGGTCCCCCCACCAGGTATATGGTACAGTATGTCTTAACTGTCATAATATTGTGAATATAAACTCAGACAGAAGCTCACCTAAAATGAAATTAAGGGATAGTAGATGTTCAAGAATTAGTTTTTAAATATCTTTGGGCCTAGACAAATTCAATAAGATATGAAAAGCATGTACGTCTTAAGTTATTGTAATTTGTGGTACAACATCTAAGGCTATCAAGACTGAATGTTGTATAAAAAGATACAAGATGTGATATCCTTGCAAATAAAATGGCTTTTCTGAATAGATTGACATTGATTTTGTAATAATTATATTTTCAGTAATAGGAATTGTTGAAGAACCTGCTTGTAAGAAAGCTAAAACAGAGGTTAGAAATACACAACCTTTATTTATTTTTTAGTTCCACCACAGTAATTATTGTGTGAAAAGTGTCTAGCAATGCAAGTCCTCTTCAACCTTTAGCAATTCATGCTGCCACAATTTGTCCTTTTTAATTCTAAACTCATTTTGATATAATTACAGACTGGTGTTGGTGCAACTGAAATTAATATAACTGGTAAGTGGACTCAATCTTTTTATTTTAAAAGTCTTAGATGATAATTGTCAAAATTCCATAAACAGTATAGAATACAGAAGCGAAATTGGCCAAATGCACATGCATGTGGGCAAATTTTATTTTGCATGTTTTTTTAGTCAAAATATGTAATTTCATTCATTAAAATTAAATACCAATGCATCAGATATTTTAAGTAATTCACATAAATTTAAGTAGGTCTACATGTAGTTTTGTTATAGAATTTGACTGATTGTAGATATAGATTTGGAGAGAAAGAATCCAGATTTAAAGTGTGCTTATGAAAAATGTAGGAAAACCGGCCATGAAATAGCTTATTGTCCATTGTTAAAGAAAAGAAGTTTATATGGTATGTTATTCAAATTTCATGTCTCATTTTATTGCATCTCATAGGCTAATGATGACGAGCAATGCCATGTAGTGCCAGAACAGCAGCATTAACCTACTCTTTTGCGATTTTTCAACTGTTGATTGGTCTGTATCAGCTGTAGCACATGGGGCTGCAGTTAATTGTCCTATCTGAAGGACAAGATGCATTTTTCAGTCCCTCCAACCTTCATCACTGACAAGGCCACAAACGGAAACCAGGCTATTAACCCAGCGTGTACTTTATTTGTCCTTTTGAAGGAAACAGTTTGTAATAACCTGCTTATTGGGAAACCGAGTAGGTTTAGATAACAGTGAGGTTCCACAAGTATGATAGTGTTATTGCATCATCAATTTGGATTTCAATCTGAAAGGTGAGAACGATAGCAGATATTGAGTTGTATAAGATTGGTTGTCTATATCTCTTAAGAACTGTGTTTTGTGTTTCAGCTACATGTTTTTATTGTAAAGTAATTGGTCATAGAAAGGAACAGTGTCCAAAATTAGGTAACAATGATATAATTATCAAACTTTTACCTATAATGAGAACAATTGTTATAATACAAATACATCTTTCCTTTTTGGTGTCTCTCAGTTCTGCATTGAAAAGATATATATATATAGTAATTATTAAAAGTGGTATTTGAAATATACTCAAATTATCAAAAGGTGTTCAACTCATTCAAAGCTAATGATTGAAAACCTTCTCCTTCACTGAAAAAAATAATTGAAGAAAGGCATTAAACTATGACTTTTTTAGTTGAGAAGCTTGGAAAATCAAAAGGATTGGTGTGTTTTAACTGTAATACAGCAGGTCATCATTGTAGAAATTGTCCAGGTATAGTTAAAGCTTGTTTTAAAGGAGACAGTGTGAAATTGTCATGAAAATGGCAATGGAACTTAATGATTTCTCCCAGTTTTCATCAATAATGTTTTTTTCTAAGCATTGTGAAGTCAATTTTGGTTTTTCAATTAATATCAATAGAAGGAGTGATCATTGTTTTGCTTAGGCAGTTCTCAAAAAATAAAGACTGATTTAGAGTCAGAATTAAGCACCCTCTGTCTGCAATTTATTTCAGGAAAGATGAAATCAATCAAATGCTATAGATGTAACTCTGAGGAACATAGAGTTCAGAATTGTCCTCAAATCAAAAAATCAAAGAAAGCAGGTATGTGATTATTTCAATTGTTTTGTATAGTTTAGTCAAGCAAAGTTATATATTTATAAGCCTATTTCAATAGAATATTAATTGGTTTTAATATTGAGATACATCTTTTTTTTTTTCAATGTTTTGATGATTTGGACCATTTGTTTCAGAAGTAACAGAGACTGTTAGTATAGATGAGGTGGATACTGTACCAGACACTTCTGATACACTGAACAATATTACACCATCAAATTTGGTATCAATTGCATGTGGCAATCCACTAATGAAAAATAGTTTTACACTAGCAGTGGCTGGAAGTGTAACAACAAAACAGAGTGCAAAATCAGAGGCAACAAAAGACAAAAGTAGTGCAAAGAAATGTACAGGTAGTTCAACAAAAGAGAAAAGGAGTGCAGTATCAATAGCAAGTAATGTAAATAGTCAGGAACTAACAAGTAGTGCATCTGTAAATGTCAGTTGTGGTAGTGCTAATAGTAAAAATATAGTCCAAAATACTAGCACAAAGAATATCAATGCTACTAGTGTTTCATCGAATGATGCAGCCAAAGACGCTAGTCTTAAAACAAACAATCCTTCCAAAAACATTTGTACTGTGTCATCTTGTGTCTCCAATACCAACAGTGTTATAGCAAGGGAACAAACTGTAAAAAGTGCTTCAGCTAAACCTGTACAGGGTCAAAAAGACTTTGATATTGCTGAAGAAATGGAAAAGTTTCAAAGTAAGTTCATGTATAATGGTTTTATTTTATAGATGGAAAAAGTATGATTGTGTTTGGTTTGGTTTGTACTTCACTTGCCCTAAATCTTTTTGTCACCACAAAGGGATATTGTATCTAACATTCTGTCCAAACTAAATGATGATGGAATATTTATTGTTTTACAGACAACCCAAAACATATGATTAGCATGGGTAAATATAGACGCCATATTGAAAATCTTAGAAAAGCTGAGAGGGAGAAGAAGAAATCTGCTGAACAAAGACAAGCAGCAGAGAAGGTAAAAATTTAAAGCACAATTATCTTGTCATTGATCTATTGAAAAGTCTAATTGATAGATTTCTGTCAGGCCAAAATTTGTACAGAATCCTACTTTTGTTTTGTGTGAATTGAAATATGAACTCCTTAATATTTCAAACAGTCTTTGTGTTGAAGAAAATAGTCCAAAACTGATGTCAACCTTGATTTTTATATATTTTCAGATAGTTGATTCCTCCAGTAATAAAGTTCCTGATAAACAGGAAAATATGAGTTCTAGTCACTATTCTAATTCTAATCAATCTCACAGTGATATTGTTACTCAAAATCAACATCCAATGAAAGACTCTACGAAGGAAGTAGAAAAACCAAAGTGAGTATGAAATGAAGTTTTCTTGCTGGTAAAGTCTGGCTCAATAATATGGGTATCTAGAGATCGGATTAATGTAATTATCTTTTTAAAAACAAATGTCGAGTAAAATTGGCTAAAACCTTGAAATGTTTGTAATATATATGAATTTTTTGTTGTTTTTATATTTCAGGTTGATTGGTATGACTTGTGATGTTTGTCAGTTTACCAGTAAGATACAATCTGAGATAAATACTCATAAACTAACTCCACTTCATATTGTAAGATTGTTTACTTGTTATATTAGAAAGTATTTTATCATATCACATCATAGATCTGGGCATACTATACACGTTCAATCAATATCACATCATTTAGGGTTACCTTTATTATTGAATTATAAGTACATAAATCCTGATATTTTGAATATGATCCCCTTTTCCAGACAATGTGATGAACTATATTCTATTTGATATCTCCTATGAAAGGGGTTTTTCTGAAGAATAGACTTGTAAATTGTTCCTGATTATATGTTATGTTCTCAGATTGGTATATTAACTTTAACCTTTTACATTGTAGAAAAAATGTGAACTGTGTGAGACAGGATGTAAGATGTGTGGCAGAGTTAAATTTAAAACATTTGAGGAGTACACAAGTCATAATACAGAAAAACTACATAAGGCAGTAAGTATTTTTCTTATACATAAGATTTTTAATGTTTATATATACCTGTATCACGTTTCAAGTTAAATTTAGTTTTCGGATTAGTCTTTCATCAAATAAAAACAAAGGTATAAAACAAACTTGCAACTCTAAATATCAGTGGTTCAGATTTCCTTGAGACAACATGTATGATCAGAAAATATTCAAAGACAGATACAAGATGATGGTGTTAGTATTTTATGATGCTCTCTATTTCAGTTGTTACAAAAGAAAAGACAAATATCCAATTCAAAAGTGGCTAAAATAGCTAACAAAGTAGCAGGTAAAGCAATTAGATATATTTCATTTTCATTTTTGCTCAAAAATTTTAATGTTGAAAAGTTATATAAAGATGTAACATTGAAATCTAGCTGATTGTATTATATGAATAATCTTGACTTTTCCTCATTTACAGGAGTAGAATATGTGGTGCCAGTTTCAGGATATTTCTGTAAATTATGTAAGAAGTTTTATACTGAAGAATCCTTTGCTAAAGATGATCATTGCAGATCCAAAGAACACCATGAAAAAATTGGGGTATGTAGAAAGTTTGGGTGATTTTAGTATTGAAATATTTGTTGTCTTTAGAATATCTGCTTGTATTCAAGTATAGCTATTGTGGATAAGAAGCCTGACAGTTAAATGGGATGATATTTCTAACAATGCTGTTGCTAAGGCAGGTAATGTTGATGCTGATGTTGAAAGAAAATTTGTTTTTCTTGTAGGAAGTTCTGGGTACTAAGTATGAAACTGCTATCAGAGCCAAATTTCTGGAACTTTGTAAATTAATGCAGAAAAATATAAAATCAAAAAGAGAGACTGCAAGATTTTTTCAGGTGTTGGCTAGGGCCGATTTTACCAATCTGAAACCTTTAGCAAGTGCCAAGTCTCCAGTCCAAAATAAACCAAAATCGAAGGAAATTCCACAGACTGTCACGGAGGACACTGATCCATCATCAGATGTGTCAAAAGAGTCATGTGTTTCTGATGTACTCATAGAAAGTGTAAAGGAAGTTAAGGGTACTGACATTTCTGATGCAGGTGAAACAGGTGACTGTGTATCAAAGATTCCAAAGCAGTCTTGTAATATCTCTAGTTCTGAAAACATCGAAGAAATAAATTCAGATATAGTACGAAACAAGAGTGAAGATATTTCAAAAGCAGGTGATACCCATGTAATATATGGCTCTTCTGCACCAGTTACTGAGAATATTTTAATGTCGTTAGATGCATCAAGAAGTGTATCTGTTTCTCAAGGCAATAAAGCTTTTGAAGATGTTGCAAAGGATGAAGATTCAAAGCTTGATATAGATCAACGAAATAATTTGGAAATAAAAAATTTCACTCCCTTAAAGTCTTTGAATGTTAATTTTGATCAATCAAGCTCCCAAATCATATCTCCCAATATTCAAGAGCATGACAGAGTTCTTGAAACTGGGGGGTCCACACTAGGGTCTTGCGTACCAAAGAAGATGCCAAAGAGTCCTACAGTACCAGTAGAGAAGTTGGAATCCACAGATGCTGATATGCTGTTAACTGATGATGAAGATGATGAGATTTTATGTGGTGATTGTGACTCTGATATTGAGTTAAGTGACTGATTAGGACATATATTGGCTTTTCATTATTCCTGTTACTCACTTTACTGTCCAAATGTATTCTAATGTATCTTCACTAGTGATACAGTTCTTGTATTGAGTAATTGTATTTCAAGTGACTATTTGTTAGTCTCTTAGTCACTTCCTGTTTCACCTTTGTGTGCATCGTTCTGGTAACGTATCCATATGGAATTTGGTGAGTAGTTAAGTATTTTTTTATGTATTGTATGTATTTGGTACAAATTGTTATGTTTTCCTATTAAATACATCTTCTCTGATGATCCAGATATTGTATTGATCTTGACTTGTGATCATTTTAGTCACTGTCTTTTTCATTAACCTTGTTTATTGTCGATATATCCATCTGTAATCGGAGTCAATGGGGCTCTTCTCTGTTGATACAGTTAATGTATCTATATTGACTAATTGTATTCCGAGTGACTATATGAGTCACTTTCATTTTCATTATTTCTGCTACCTTGTATATTGTCAATGTATATCCTGCAGTTATCCATGTAGTGTATTCCAAATGACCGAGTCACATAATAACTTTCTGTTTCATTATAAATGCTATCCAGTCTGTTGTCAATGTGTATACATATTGACTAAATGTATATTTTAGTCACTTTCTTTTTTCTTTTTTTCCGTCACCTTTTTTTTTATTGTAAATGTGTATCTTATTTGTGGATACATACAGTGTATCCTTGAATTTGGTGACTTATATATATGTATTTTATCTGAGGATACGGATAATATTACTTTCTTGGATTTAATGACTAGTTAAGTTTTTTTATTGTTTTTGATCCTTATGGTAATATGTGGCTATGTTCACTCTTCATTTATATTGGATACATGTATTAATTTATTGTCAATGTGTATCTTTTGTGGTGATACAGAGAGTGTATCTTGTATTTGATTTTGTGGCATTGTGACCATTTCACTAATGGCAATATGTGACCGTTAGATTAAGTTTTTCTTTTGTATTTGATGACTAGTCAAGTCTTATTCAATACAAATCTTAATGGCAATGTGTTCACTGTTCATTTATATTGGTTACTTTGTTTATTTTCAATGTGTATCTTTTTGTTGGTGATACATATATAGTGTATCATGCATCTTGTATTTTGGTAACTAGTTACGTTTTTTCTTTTGTATTTTATGTATTTGATACAATCATTATGTTATGTCTTCTTTTGTATTTGACAACTAGTCAATTCTTTTGACTTTGTATTTGATACAAATCCTAATGGCAATACCTGACCATTGTTCATTTATAGCCTATCATTGTTGATTACGCTTGCTTGTTAAGTGTAAATATTGTAAAATTTAGTTACGTTTGAATAAAGATACACAAATATGCTCATTTTCATGGGTTTTGTGCTTTTAATTTTTTGACTTCAATATTCATCAAATGGTATTTCCATTCTTGAACTAATCTTGTTTTGCTGGTAACGTGGTCGCAGTTTTCTGGGATGGTGATAAATGAGAGACAATCGAAATATCTACACTGCATCTTAACGAAAACTATTTCATATTTCTAGTACACTTCCCTTCAGCACCCACATCTCGCTTTGGACCCGAAATAATAAATATTCATCATGTCACGTGAATTGCAAATTGACCAATCAACACGCTAAAATGTAGCCATATTTTGAAAAATCTTTTGTAAATATGAACACATGCGAGTAACTCGTAAATAATATACAGGCAACAGACAGTTGTAATGTTACATATTCCGCCAAGATGGTAATGCTGTAATTTTGTCTCTGGAAATGTATGATGGAAGGATTAGCAAGAAGGCTCCCGACAGTAGATCGGAAAAACCAGGGGCATAGTCTATAGTCTGCTTTGTTGAAAGATGATTCCATTAAAACACAAGCGCAGTAAAGCGTATCGCAAAGATAATGGCTTTGAACCCTTATTTTCATTTTATTTGCATAGAAATTGTGACATGCATTACACCATAAGACATAATATAATTTTGGAGGTTTCAATACATAAGTTATATAAGTATATTCGAGCATACGGGAGACTTTATAGTATCGCTAGAATAGATTACATGTTATCGGAAAAAGAATTCCATGTTATCAAGTCATTCGAAAATAGAGCTCAAGTTGTCCAGGCTAAGTTGATATTCTCTATCTGTTTACCGTCGACAGTCATATCTTCTACTTTGTACCCCATGAAATGGCCATAGTTTCCCACGTCCAGCCATCGTCTTAAGATAAATACCGGAGATCCACTGGACCCGGGACACGTTTTACATGAATACTTGACACATTTGACTTCCCTGCATTGACAATTTTCATCTGGGTGAACTATCTGGCGACCTTGATTATCAAATCTCTCCGTACAAGATCCCAACCATCTTCCAAAGGTAACAGTTTTTACGGCACCATGAGGGTGGCCTATACAACACGTATTATCATTGTTAGCGGTGGAGGAGCTCACCATTTCAATATATTTCTCGGCTCCTTTTGGTTTTGGCTTAAAATCAAATACCCATACGCAAGTTGGGTACTGCTCCATGTATATTTGGAAGTCAACGCCACGAAAACGACTGAAGAATAGGCTAGATTGGATTTGCATGAAGTAAAGTATTGAGCCGTGACTAATAACTTCGCCGTTCAAAATCAGTCGACAGTTCCTTACTATATCTTGGCTAATACTTTCCGATATTTTAATTACATATTCATCGCAAATCTTAATAATTTCACCGGGTATGACTCTGCAATTTTGACCATCCTCCTTGATACTAATTTCAATACCAGTTAACTCTTCTATATTCGGGGGAACCGGTTGGAATTTAAAATATGAACTGGTGATGTTATTGAAGAAACTTTCCGGATAATACAAAAATACCATGCTAATTTTTGGATCGTTGAGATTAGCATTAGTAATATGTAAGGATTTCTGACTAATATAACTTGTATTATAAGTAGAACTACGATTGTCCTTGTATATCACAGCAAGTGAGGGATGTAAGGCACTGTAATCTATGATCTCCAGCTCATTCAAGTTGTTTGGTTCGGGGTGAAACTGAAAACAAGTAGTATCTCTCATAGGACAAGTCCATATAAGTTTGACACCTCGACTTTTAAATATACCAGATCTATCAGGCGATTCGTAACCAAACTCTACAATGCAATTTTTGACTTCGTCTTCAGACTTGATCACGTGATTGTTCGTTTGCATGAAATATCTACCATTGAGCTTAATCACAAAGCCTGTCCCCAGTTTCTGCGTGGTCATTCCATTCCTCCTTTTCTCTACGATAATCCGAACAACTCTTTTACCTTGTTTTATTATTTCATTAAATATCTCAATATGTCGGTCTTCCATGGGTAGGTTTTCTAACTTTAAATCCTTAAAGGCAATGAATCCTCTATGGCCAGGATTCTTGTCGCATTCCACAGTATGTAAAAGCTGACATTCCTTATTGATGTCTGCATCATGAGCTACTTCAATCTTAAAATCCGGGTTTATTTCCTCTCCATCGTGATGACAGGGTGTTGGACGTGAAGTTGCCATTATGTTCCAGCTGAGCTCTCCACCTGGAAATAAATTTAAAATTGAAAGCTTCTCATGTAGTGGTAAATAACCCTATCATGCAGTAGGGCGAGTACAAGCAAAATCCACAGATTAGGTTACTTTGGTCTATGTTCTGGTGCAGCCTGAGTGGACGTCTTTGGAGATAAGAACAATTAAACCAAATTACAATTCGCTGAGGCACACCCAACAAATTCTAACGATTCAAGACATGATCTCTTAATTCACTGGTTTAATCGAGTCGTTAAGATTATTTTCATGGACTGTATGCCCAAAGAAATCACAGGCAGTTTAGGAAAACGAATTTGCTTTGTTGAAACGATCCCAAGAAATTTGAACAAAAAATTCCAAAATTTTAGCAGTAAAAATCCACATTTGACCATCTGTACATTATAGTCCGTGATTATTTAGTCTGAAACTTGTTAACCCTATTCCAGCTTCTGAAAGCTATTTTGACAGCAGTTGTAGGCCTAGGTGTATTGCTCAGGACTATTTGCCACGTTCGTGGTAAATAGTTACTGCCGTCAAAATAAATAGGCTGCAATAAATGGGTTAGCAAGTTTCGTATTAGGCCTAGTACCTATGTAGCCAATTAAATCAAAGCATAGCCACTTTAGATATCAATAATAACCTTTTGAGGCTAATATTTATACGAAAATGATCTCAATTTACGATCAGAGTGAGAAAACCACTAGCTGGTAGGTAGGACCTTCAGATTTCCATGCAACACGTAGCGGAAAACTTGACATGCAGTTCAAGTTGCCACCCACTTTCTGTTGCTGTTCGAAGGTTTCCTTTTGCAAACTATAGGAAAATACAATTCAATGATATTTAAAGAAACACTTGTCACTGTAAATTATGCCCGAAACAGAATCAACTTGGTAATACTTCAGCACGACTTACGTCATTCGGGTGTCTATATTATCTACATTTTACACTGCTTGGCCAACCCATATAACTTTGAATCCGGTAACATACTTCTTTGTCATCCATGGATTTCGATGAAATATGAGAATTTGCATTAGACTGAGCTTATCTTTTCTGCAAAAATTATTCAGGTTAGACAATCCCTTATGCTTATGAAAATTTTTTCTTCATAAATTCTTCGTTTTCGAATAAACCTTTTACAAAACAAAAATCTGTCAATTGTACGCAGCCATTGAAAAGACATGAAAAAATTGCACGGAAATATTGGGAAGTGATCTTCCAGTTTCTTTGTAGGTGTCTTGCATAACTTATTTTCTGCAGTTGAACTAGATCCTAATAGAAACACGACAATACACAATCCAATTGATCAAATGATTATCCTGAATTGTCGCTCATTTGTAGTCTCAAAATTCTGCAACTGTAAAAAGAAATTTCAACACTATATTTCGTGATAGAAGTGATTCAATTATTATGTATTATTCTTTCAGAGAATTTGTGTAAAAGTTTTGAGTAACAGTACAGTTATTGAATAATCTAAATCAAGAAATAAAATGTATTCAAATGATAGGTATCGTATCCCTGCAACATCCCCAGGCCGTCGATACTCTGATCAGAGAATGTTGTCTGGCAGTAGACTTCCTCCAGACCCCAGAGATAGCATCAGACCTCAACCAAGGGAGAGGAGAAGTTTGGAGAGTGATCGAAGAGGAATTGAAATAGATAGAAGAGATCGAAATGAATCATTAGGTAGACGTAGTCAAGAGTTTGATTATAACCATGGCCGTCAACCTGAGAGACGAGATTTTGAGAGAAATAGAATGGAAGATGAAGGGAAAAGGAAAATGGCAGAAGAACTGAAAATACGAGAACAACAACTAGCAATAACGAGCAACCTTTTACAGAAACAATCTGAAATGTTGAAAAACATAGAAGCCAATATGATGGCCCGAAATCAACCGGGTCCTTCCCCAATGATGGGGAGAAATATGGTACCTCCACGGCTACATATGGGTCCAATGGACAGGAGACCGGACACCAGATCACCGAGAAGAAAGTTTGAATTTAACAATGATATGGACAAGAGTAGATATGATGGTCCTCCACCAAAAAGATTTAAAGAAATTGAGGTAAGTCTTGTTTCCTAAATATGCTTAGATTGAGTTTGAATGTTTTCCGGCAAATGTGGTGTTTCTGACTGAAACAGTTAATGATTATAAATTTGCACATGTCAAGTCTCTCCTTTTGACTAATGTATATTAATTTTGTATTATGTCAATTTCTTTATTAATCATTTCCTTTCAGATTTAAAAGCTAGCCATTTTTTTTTTCCAGTAAGCCAACTTCTATTCTTAGGTATAAGCTTAAGCATCAAATCTTATTTTAAAGTCATGCCGGTGGTTGCAACTATTCATTTGCAATGATTCTGTACAATTTGAGAACTTTCAAGTAATGCTTTGTTTCTGATTAAACTTTGGAGACTGTTATTGTATCTTGATTGATATAAGTCGTTGTTACATGTTAATACAATATTGTTGTATACAGTATTTTGAAAAGAACTCAGTTGGAAATAAACAGTCAAAAGCAATTGACTATGATTTATCAGTATGACATCACAAATGCATGTCAGTACTAGAAAATATTCTGGTGGTTATTTTAATCATAACTAAAGAGGCAGTTGCCTACGAAAAATCTTCTGACAAAAGAATATAGTGTGGTCCATGAAATAGTTGAGCTATTTTTTGAAAGCTGATGCCAATGATGATTGTTAATTCTCTATACAAAACATTGTGCATGGACTTAATGTCTAAAGTTATGAGACTGAGCCGAGGACTGAAATTACTATTTTCAGGAAGGCTGTGATTTTTCAGCACCAAGAAAAGTTCCTTATTCACTGTCTTTGGATAGCTACCTTGGCAGTTCTTGGTTCTCAATCTAGGTTGTTAGTACCCCTAGCTAGTGATACGAGCAATAACCATAGGAATACCTGAGAAACATCTCAAATATTTTTATAACCATAGACCAATTTGCATAGCAGAAAAAGCTTTGTCTTAGAGTACCAGAAGATAGCTTGAAAGGCTCATGAATGAATGAGTCAAAAAAATTTAGAAATAGAGATCCAGGAGTTGTATGAATAATTCATTAGATAAATTAATTTCTTACAAGATTTTAGAAATTAGATATCCAATTGTTCTTTCTTATTCATCAAAGAGAAGATGATTGACTTGTTGGTTTGAGGTGGTCAATTGAAATTTCATTCCAGTTTCCCAGAAAAACTTTCACTCTACAAAAAAAGTTATTGTTTGTATTCAAATATTTTCATTAGAAAATGAAATTTTATTTTAAGCTCCTTATTTCAAGAATTCATTGTCATCACAAAAAATGATAAGAGTTTCCAATACATGCCCAGGCTTATCTAATGTCAATGCCTTGATGTTGAACTAAACTTGATTCTTATGGATATGCCACATTCTTGACTTTATTTTCAGCAGGGAGAAAGAAGTAATTGGAATAAAGCAGTTCAGTCTAGAGGAGGCAGCCATATGAAAGGAGGTATTAAACATATGAGATATTCTGATATTTATCATTTTATCTTGGAAATATTCAATGCCACTCTTTATCTGAATAGATGAAATAGTGGATTGATCACTTATCTTACAAAAGAGATTTTATTGTGCTTGAGTCAACTGTAAGCTTATATTATGGTGGCCACTCACTGAGTAAGTCGGAAGAGTGGTGAATGTTCACATGCAGGCATGCCCTAATGTCTTAACATGAAGAAGGCCTAAGATATACAAGTAATGTTTGCATCTTGATCTGGGAGAATGCATAGTTATGCATATTTTGATTTAAGATGGCATATCGGAAATCTTTTGATCAGAATTACATTATGAAATTGAAATGTTTCCAAGGGTATTGTGAACCAAAGAGAGTTTTCAGATTTACTTGGGGGTTAGAAGCGGTGCATATTAAACATGCACACTACATTCACAGATACACGGTATACAGCTTGTTTTTTTAAGCACAATGTCATTTGTCTGTAATGTTCAATGATTTTTTGAGATTTGTAGAGTTAAAACTGAATATGCAATCTGTAGTTCTGTTTTCAAAATGTTGGCTTGAATGAGGTGTAGCAATGAAAAGTGTTAAAGAACACAGATATAAGCAGTAGATTCTCTTAAAATGAGAATGAAAGTAGGACGTAAAACTCCATTCATTTCATTTAATTTAAAATGAGAATGAGACTTGTAGTTTAAAGTGGTAGGTTGTGCTATATTGCATGATCTGTAATCTGAATATTGGACAATCTTCAAAAATGTTATAAACATTATGATATTAATGGGAAGACCAAGAGAGATTTCGATTGTCACGAGAAATTAAAAGTTAAAGCTGGCACTTGTATTTGATTTATATTATGGATTCATTTTGTGACAGAAATAATCTTACAGATTGATAAAGGATTTAAACTCAAAAAGATTAGAAATATCAGAAATAATATAGGGTAATAGTATTTCCAGAAGATTAAAGAGATCAGGTGTTTGATTCAGAAATAAAGTGTTGGAAACAAGAAGTTGTTTGAAAATTTCATTAAATTGATTTTAAAAACAAAACCAAACAAAGCATTAAAAATGAACATATGGCAGCTGAATTTAAATTGCAACCTTTTTCATTCTTCATGATATAGCTTAGACGACATTCTTTCCTCAAATTCTAGTAGTAGAAGACACTTACAAACCATGGTTGTAACCTATAGAGTGTGCACAAGTTAATTGTGTGAAACAGAAAGCAAGCAAGCAATATATGCCTTTCAGGTGAGCATTAAAAAAAGAATTCTAAGGATACATTGCTAGACAGAAGACTGATGAAAAAAGGAAGATTGAAATAGTAAAAAAACGTTAACTGATTTCTAAACCAGTGGGAAATGCAAAGATAAAAATGTAAAGATAAAAATGCACAGAGTTAGCTTTATGGAAGTTGCTGAGGGTTTTGGAATGGCATTGATTATAGAAATTGATAGAGGCCCCTTTCCTTGGGTTGAAGTAGATTTTTTTTAGCAACAAAGCATCATAGATTTTGAAAATGCTGTTATTATCCTATAGATATTTTTGAATGGGATAACCAACATAGAAGAGTAATGAGATTCTTTCTAAATGATTGCTTTGAAGAGGAACAGTCACACACTCTTATGAGGATAATTAAGAAAACTGCAGTACACTTTGGAGAAAGAGAATTATATTATTTGCCAATTATCCAGAATAGTTATTGGGCTTATATTGTGTCTACTTGGTAGCCAGCTTTATAACATTAATATATTGATAGTAATTTGGATAGATTTCCATGTGATCTAAGGTTGATCCAAAACATACTTGATAATGCCTAACAGTAACCTATCTTGTAGAAGAACACACAGATTTTAAAAATATCTTCATGGACTTTTTTGTTTTTGTTACAAATTTCAAAATTTGTTTACAATCTGCTTTAACAGACTTTAAAGTCATAATATAAAGCATCTGCATTTAAAATTTCTAACATATATTTACAGTGATATCATATTTTGCCCTTAACCTGTAATATTGCATAATAATCAATCTATCTGCATTATTTACAAAAGTGTATTTCAGTATTTTTGATTTGCAAATATTATAATGTTTTTTTTTTATAGGTCCATCCCAAGGCAAAGTATGCAACATTTGCAAGAGTCCAAATCATTTTGCTAGAGATTGTTCTGATAATACTATGATTGATAATGGTAAGACTGTATAGAATTCCTTGATGCAATATCGTTGTTCACATTCAGATTTGTGAGGTGTAACCATTTCCGTAATTTATGGGGGAGGAATGTGTTTAATTGAAATTTTACACAATGATACCATGAGCAAGAGAATAAAAGATCTGAGAAAATACTTTAAAACTATACGTGTGCCTTATATGAAGTTGTGTAAAAAATTTGCAAAGATGTTTTAACACATTTGTGAACCAGTTCTTAGAGCCTTAACATGGGCCAAATTTCTTTGAATTTCTTTTTATTGAGGAATATCGAATCCAATGCAATAAGAGCAATCTTATTCACCTGTGGACTCTTTCTCTTGTGCCATCATGGGAGCAATTATAATTATGATTTTGTTATTTTCTTGCACATCATCTAAAACATGAATATGATTTTCAGGAAAAGTATGCAACATTTGTAAGAGCCCAAATCATTTTCAGAGGAGTTGTCCTCAAAATTCACTAAAGGATCACTGTAAGTTATAGCTTTGTCTGTCATCTTCTTTTGTAATCATAACCAGCTGTCCTGAGAGATATTTCATGCACTCAAAACACTTGTCAATTTCCTGAAGCTTGCTCATTTAAAATCAACATCTTAAAGCTTTTAGGATTTTGTTTATTTTCCGATGAAGTATTATTGGACTGAATCCCTTTGGTCATTTGATATTCCATGTGTATGATATAGATAACATTTCAGCAAGATTTTATAAACTTTATTTTAAATATAAATTGTTTTAATCTCTCATTTTGTTTTGTACAGTTTCTGGTCCTAAACATGATATGAAAAGACCTCCTGTGGGTTTGAATAACAAGGTAACTATTATTAACATATTTACTAAATAATATTCAAATTCAAGCAATAATGACCATTATTATATCTTACAAGGGTAAATTATAATACAATGGACTGAAAGATCTTCTGAAGTACTATACAAATCTCATAAATCTGTAGCGAAACTGAACAGGAAACACGTTATATTAAGGTTTCATATTTCATATGAGATATTTAGATAATTTAGGTAAGTTAGAATATATAGGTAGTACCCTGACATATATTTCTTTCTTGTAGCCATTTGGAACAACTTCAAGATTTGCTGGTACAAGAGGAGGCAGACGTCCTTTTCAATCTGATCGCTTCAGGGGAAAATTTGCAGGGTTGGTATTATTATGTCATACAATCTTTTCTAATCTTGACTTCTCTTTGGTCCAATAGGAATTTATAATCTCATATCAGACATATTTGCATAGTGAAAATCTTTATTTCGTCAGTGCTGAAGAATGTATTCCTATTACTGCTTTAGTACGTAAGAATTACCTCCCCTTGTACTTCCTTCTTTAGTGGATAAAGGTTAAATGATAATACTTCTTAATTGTGTGGCAAATTATCAAGTATGCATAATTTTTCTTCAAAAACTAGATCTATTTTGACTATATTTTTATAACCTGATTAAGTACCGATATGTTGACCGTATTAATGGAATGGTGTAATAATGACGAAGTAATCTTTCAGAAATAATAACATAAGAAGTTGTAAAATATGTTCTATACATGGTATTCGTGATTTTGAAACACATATCAAAACTCCAGAACATGCTGTAAGTTCATAACATTCACTTTGAGTATTGTCCAACTGTATATATTGACATCTGTACAATTTCAAGCAATTACGAACTTCGGTTAATATTTTTACTGTAATAGCCTTTCTTGTATCACAGAAGTTTGTAAATGAAACGATCTGATACACTAGCCAATACAGACATACAATACAATCATTTACAGTTGAGTCGACTTAGATTAGAACCAGCAGTCACCATTTGTTGGACATTACAGAGCAAATGACTCATGTACAGAAGCAACACTCTAACAAACTGTGCTACAGAACCCAAAATTTCACTAAGAATTAAATAAACCTGGATTCTAATGGTTCTACCAACTCAGCTTAATTTAAAAGGGAAATTAAGATCTGATGTTGTTAAAGTGTTAACTTCAGTTATTAAGTTTAAATGTTTTATTGTAGAGAATGTTTGATTTGTGTAAAGCAGGATGTAAACTATGTAGTAAGAAGAGATACAACTCAAAACCTCAATATGAAAAACATCAGGTGTCAACTCTTCATAAAGCTGTAGGTATTTCTCAATCATTTATTATCAAAATAGTAAGATAGTTGTCCAAATATCAGCTTCACATCAGATAAAACTCTATTTCAGGTTGGTAGAAAACCTCTCAGAATGAACATTTTATGTCTGTTTTGTCTGCTAATCTACTGAGAGTTATGTACATCTGAAATTAAGATTTTCAAAAGGGCATGCAATTTGTTTCGGTCTAAACAGAAGCTTTAATCTTCATTACTTCTATAACTGTATTTATTTTAGTTGGTTAGTAAGAAGAAACTGGTAGTAGAATCTAAACTGAAGCCTTATTCTGCCTCTAACACATCAGGTAAATTATTGAGACTTTTGTCATCTAAAGTTGCCAATCAATATTTTCAAGGCCTACATGTCAACATAAGTTGTTTGCACATTCTCTATACATATTTGTGAGTGAATTCTGTAAATTCTGAAAAAATGTTTTAAGATTTGAAAGTAATATGCGGGAATTTGCGCTTCAAAGAGTATAATTTGATTCTTTCTGTTTATTCCAATGGAATTGTAGTATAATTTGTATAATCAAGTGATTATGAATTGTAGCTTTTGACATTACAAGTGATCAAAGTTAGGGCATGAAGAACTGAGGGTTTATATAAAAGACATACCCTGGTTGTGGTCCTTTTGCTCCATGAACTCCAAAGAAATGTTCTTGTTTATTTACAGGAGTAGAATATGTGGTACCAGTTGCAGGATTTTTCTGTAAATTATGTAAGAAGTTTTATAATAAAGAATCCTATGCTAAAGATGATCATTGTAAAACCAAAGCACATTATGATAAAGTTGCTGTGAGTATTTTGGATATATGGTCTGTAAAAGAAAACAAATTAAGAGTCATTTTCATGTGATCTGGTATTGAACATGCCTGCTTTAATTACAGAACAAAACAACCAACCATACAAGGATAACAAGTTAACAACAAAGATTCACTTAGCATCCTGTGTACCAACTGGTCCTTGGTTAGTCTGAATTTAGTCGATTTTCCGGAGTATGAAAATTAATAGTAAATGTTTGTATTTTCAGTCTATGATCGGAACAAAGTTTGAGACTGCTATTGGAGCCAGATTCCAGGGCCTTAAAGATAAATTGTCGTCTGGCGAAACTGACCAACAACAACTGGAGAGAAAACTGATTGAAGCAGTAAGAAAAGCAGACTTTGTGACTGATTTAAAACCAATACCCGATCCAAAGAAAACTGTAGCTCCTAAAACACCTGCTGCTACAACTGAAAAGACTACAGAGGCTGAAAAAGCTCCAGAGGACACTGAAAAGCATGGAGAGACTTCAAAGGCTCCTGCAGAAGACACAGTTAAGACTGAAGAAGAGGATAAGACAGAAGAGACATCGGAAGACACAAAAGAGACTGAAGATGAATCTGAAGAAAAGCCAGCAGAAGATGATGGTGATCATGAACATCCTGATGATCTAGAGATGGAAGTTTTGGATGATGCTGGTGGAGATGATGCTGCTGGTCCTCACTGATCTGTGTTTCCACTCGATCTCCTTTTAGTAAACTATTATTGTCAGGGCACAACTGGTATCATACTTGTATATCCCAAATCAGAATTTTTATGCTGTAAATATGCTGTGTATTTAAACAATGGGACTAATTGTTGGTATATACCTCCTTGTTTGTGATGCAGATTGTGACTTTGAAAATAATCTAGTCATTTGAACTGGATGAAAAAATTGAGGCCCCAAGCTTGTGCTTTAGAGATATGTAAACACTTAAAAAAGATAAGGAAGATGACATGACTGTCTCACATCTAAGTTCATTGAAATAGTAGGATGTAAATCTCCACTCTATTGTTTTATTGTACTTATTGTGTTATTAAAGTTAAATAAGTAATTGTGTAAAATGCTTATCTCAGATTTTATATTTCTTTAATGTTGATACGGAAAATTTAACATGTTCTGTATGGATACAGGGATTTTTATTGTTATTTCTAAGCCTTGAGTAGGTTTGGTTCCTCATGTTTATGAATTTTTGAAAATTTACATGAAATTTGTTAAACATAAATGTCCAGATTTCTGTGAAATTTGTATTAATGGAATATTTTCAGAATATTAGATCAATAACTTGGATGTAATTCTGATGTATTATCAGCTAATATGAAATTAAAATGTTGAATATTGTTTTGAGCATTTTATATTTTAGTAGCTATCAAATACTGACTTATCATTGGCCCTTTCATATTGTCACCTTTTATTTTTCGTTATGAAAACCAGAGACACTGAATTTTAATAATATTTTGTTCAAATCTTCACTCACTTTAGACCCTACCCTACTTCAGAACTCACCATGTAACATATGAAAATTGAGGTGTATATTTCAATAAGTGCACAAATGCTCATATCTCAACTGCTTGTGTAGGTAGCACCTTCTGTCTGTTTGGCCTACTGCAAAAAAGAGAGTTGTTAAGAGTTTGATGAAACTTAGATTGCTCATAATATGGGGAGTTAGATTTCCATCAAAATTCAACTAACTATTTTGAAGTTATTTCCCTTGGGCATAGTCAGAATACTTGAGATTGTGAACGTGTTATAAAGAAGTATGACGAAATCTCTCTCCATTCAAAGCAGATAAGGACCATTCATATAAAGATTGGACTATACTTATAGTATAAATAACTTTTATGTTAATTACAGATACGCCTAGAAAATGACATGACAATATTTAATCGACTGCTAGGATACTATTCAATCCAAATATTCTCGTGCCGTGCGCGTGTATCTCTTCTTTATTCAAACCTGGCCTCATTGTCAAGAGAAATAAAGAGAAAAATAAAAATTTGTAATAAAATAATAATCAATTGTAATAAAGTCGGATCATGTCAACTTTTGGTATTCGGGAATTAATATCAATAAGTCTCAAAATAAGATATAGCAGGGTCCTTGAGAAACACATTCGTTCGCACCTCTTCCGAGGTTTTAGTAAAAGCGGGCTCATGCCACTGCCTTTGTAAATTGTCCCACAATCCAGGGTGCTGTGTGTGTTCACTAGACCGACAAGTTGACTGTAAGTCCTTGAGAGGCATGATGTTTCGGTGTTCACTAGACCGAAACATCTGCCTCTATTCCAGCATCTGATAGCTATTTGGACAGATGTCAGCTGGTGTAGAGTTAGAAAAATAGGCCCCGTTAAATGGGGATATTCCGCATCTTCGCAGGTGCGGTGGTTTAAAACCTATTTAGATACCTCGGACCTGCAAAACCTAGATATATTTGGAAAGATGATTATATTTGTTCTATCATTTTCTCCCTCCTAGGCGCAATTCATGTCATGTCTCCGGTTCCATGTCCACATTTAACAGGGCCTTTTTTTTCTGTCTCCACACCAGCTGACATCTGGCAGTCTCGATATAAACGAAGCACAATACCTGAATATCATAGTACAACTCGTTTATAATATCGTCCTCGGTTAATCGGATACTCTTTGTTTACTGTGTGTATCGGAAAAATACTAGGGCCACAATAGGAAAATGTAAAAATGTAGCAGTTGTATGTGGTCAGAATGTAGCCTACCCTATACTAGGTATCATTGCAATTTCTGTTATGCAACTAGACCCCGAACGTTTTTGCAAACGTCTCTTTTGGACATATTTGTGAGAGTTGTACACAGCTTTATTCTTGAATCAGACCATTATATTAAATGACGTGAATTAACTTCTCAAAATGGGTGGAGCTCGCAAAACACCTGTGGTGAAAGTGAAATATGTACAGGCCTACTACTTTTGAATAGGGGCCTGTGCAAGTTTCGAACTGTTGAAAGATAGTAAATCGAGTCCTTAAAGAAACACTAAACTAAACTGAAATAAACGAATATTTGCCCGAAATATGTAGTTTTACGAACAAATTTATTGAGACTATAAGCCCCACATGAAGGCCTAAAATATACATCTGTTCTGCACAATCAAATGATTCTTTCGGCCAGCGTCGCAGCCAAAATTACATGTAAATTGATTTTTGGCCCCATGAGCCGAAAGAGCGATAAATTGCGAAGGGGTCTAGTTGAGGGCCCTATCCCATAAAATAATTAGAATTATCAGACGTCTGCAGATATGTAGGACTTTTCAATTAGTATGTCAATCATCTGATTATTCAGCATAAGCCTTATGCATTGAAGGGCGGAAAACTCCATTTCATTCAATTGTTCAGTTTGACTTTAGGGTCTAGATAACCGCGTCAAATATGAATCTAAGGGAAGTAACTCATCATCACAAAATGGCTTCCTAAATTTCAATTTTTACTTAAATAAAAGTTTATCACAAGAAATTCTATTTAGAAATTGTGTCAAGTATTAAAAACAACAATGGCTGGTCCACTAAGGTTCGGTAAACTTGTTAGTCTACAATTGAAGAGAAGGACACCATTTTTGACATCTAAACAAACCTTGAATAGCTTGCATAATCATTGTACAAGGAAGACGCCAGCAACTTTTGTTTACATCGACAACGGTCCTTCATTTAGAAACTTTCCTCGATATTTTTCAACAATTTGTACACCTGAAAATGAAGTTGAAACTTGTTTTTATGAAGTGAAAACATTTGGAAAAATAAACATAAAATCTCCATTTAAATTAGACGTTCAGCCCTTAAAACCCTTAGACTATCCTGAGATGAATCAATTCATATGTGAAATTTTTGACCACAACGATCCACCAAGTAAATCAGCAAGTGGATTCCACAAGTTCTATGGTATGGGTGTTTCTATTAATGACAAAAAGGACATTGTTAATGTTGATATTGAAGTTGCTGAAGGCATTGAGCTGCCTTTGACATGCTCAATAAAAATCCCCATTAAATTCAACATCAATATAGAAAGTGGTGATGAACCTGTATCAGTGAAAGGTTTTGAAGCAGACACCATTAATATTACAACTAAAAAAGGTGATTGTCTCCTTGAGAAATTAAGGTGTGGGAACGTTAAAGTGGTCAGTCAAAGTGGTGACATCATAAGTGCGACTTTACTACAGGGCAATATAGAACTCCAAACTGGATGTTCTGGATCAATTTCAGGAGACAGATTTCAAGGTCAAAATATAAACTGTACTTCAGAGCATGGAGGTGTGAAAATCAAGTCTCTTTATGCAGACAAAACTCTCATCCAAGCTAAATCAGGAACAACTCATTTAGTAAATTGCCATGGAACAACTAATATTGAGCAGGATAGTGGTAAGATTAAAATAGATTCTGCTAGTGGTGATTTGCATGGAAAAATCAACCAAGGAGACATTGCTGTTTTTGTGGCAGATTGTGGCAAAATTAATTTTGAGGCAAACCAGGGCAATGTTGATATAAAATTAATCGAGAGTGTGGCTACATATTTTGATCTTGAAGGACAATCTGTTGAAATAAATGAATCGATTAAACATGACAGAAATACATCTACCAATAATTCTGAATCTCAGCTCACACTGTGTGGAACAATCAATGGTGGAAGTGATTCGTCTTCATTAACAGTGAAAACCAAACAGGGACAAATCACTATAGGCCAACAGGACTGGTTTTCATCTTTGAATTTGTCTTCTAGATGATAAACTTTATCAGCCTCTCTCAACGAACGCTTACAAATTATTATTGAAATATTTCATTTAAAGGTATATTTGATGAAAGAGGATTTTGTCTTATTTTCAATTCACATAGGAATCTTTATCAAGTATAAAATGAATTCTTGCTTTTATTAAAATTTATCCTAATTTTTTGCTTGATTAGGATTCCCGTTTTGTGAATTGAAACATTGCTAAAAATGAAGTAGTATTTGCCAGTTTTTGCTAAGAGAGTATCAAGATATTTAGAGTATCAAGAAAAAACCCCAAAATAACCATGAAAATAGAACCTATTTATTTGTATACTGAAAGTTATGTTTTTGTATGATTTATTTATGATGGGTAAAGATTTTTTCCTGAGTTCAGTTTTTATCTGCTTTGCTGTGATTAATATTTTGTGGTACATTTGACTGTCATGTGTTTATTTTTTTTTATTTAAAAATACTCTAATTGTCTTCATACATTATTTTACTCTGATATTTCCCCTCCCCCCTTTCCATGAAAAATATAAGAATACATGCATATAGCGATCATATATAAACCATACCTGAATAAATCAATATTCAGTTTTGATTGTCTAGGCCTTCCAGTCCCAGATCAAGAATTTTCCCCAAGATTAGTTATTAGCTTAAATGGTTAAATTGTCTTGGGGTTGGCCAATGCTTTTGAATCACCACCTGCCAGCCAATCAGAGCAATTTCTGCTTTTAAACAGCTTTAAGGAAAGGGGAATAAGTCTTGCAAGACAAGGTGTTCAGGAAAAGATACTCTCAATTGACCCTATCTGACCAGGATACAAGAAAAACCCAGTCCAAAGGTTGTCACTTCATATTACATTTATTTACCTGTAAGCCTACACACCTGTTGATGATAGACCAGTCCAGGTAAATTGAATTAATGGACCAGTCCACCTGTCTTACTGTAAGTGGAGCATAGCCGGTTTGTAATGGCGAGATGTAGTTGTGAAGTTTCTCTCAGAATTTTGGAGTGAACAATATCAGACGAATGACAGCATGGGAGAATCTTCAGCAGGAGTTTTGTTTATTTGTTTGTTTTGTTTATTGTTTATGAATGTGTCAGGGGCTACCCATCAGGTGTTGAGAGGACAGTGTTATGCCTATTGTTTGACACAACATACAGATGTACATACACACGTGAGTTTAATTCATTGTTTATTTTTCTATTCTGTTATTTTTCGGCTTCATATGACACAGGTCATTTTGTGGTTTAAGGTTTTAAATGGGGTTTTAAAGATATGAGGGTTCCTTTGTCACTGAAATATTGTCAATATTTATATGTTTATTGAGGTTTATTTTAGTGAAATTTTTATGAAATTGTTTTTTTGGGTCAGTTTAAAGATTGTATCCGAAGACTTTTTTCATACCTTATTAAAACGGCTTTTGTAAATTTCAATATTCACACTCAATATACCTAATGCAGCACTAGTGCAGTATGAAAAACGTTAATGTGATATAATTGAAATCAATTGGAATACCTGTCAAATTCATTAAGAGCTCATCTCTTTATCTTAACATGTGTTTTAGATAAACAGTCTTCATCATTATGTTATTAATTATATTAGCTTCTCTAATAAGAAAAAAGATGATAGTTATATAACAAATTATAACTTTTGCTTAAATGACCCTAGTCCAGGAATTTTTTTTTTAGTAAAAGCTTAAGAAACACATTGTATTACATGAGAAATTAACACGAGACATTATGAAATGAAAATATTGGTGAAAAAAATTCTTAAAGAATTCTTAATGAGACATGTCCATTTATTTGACCAATAATACATTAGTCTCAAAATCAAGAATTTTTTTTAGCAAAGCCAATCAGTAAAAGTGTTCACAGCTCACCGTCGAAATTTGAGCCTCCAAATCCCTGTGTGTCCAGAATTATCTGAAATTCAAAAAGACAAGTCTTCTTTTCTTGAGACACTTCCATATATAGAAAACACATCTATAGATTCTACATTTCCATTACTTTTGAATACTATTTACATACATTCAAGACTCAAATCAACACCCCCAAAATGGCACATCTGTCCCTTTAAGGCGCTTTTATTTTTCTAACCTAGAAGCATGCATTGTAAAACCAACAAGTTTTCATGTGACTTCTGCATTTGTCAATTTGCCAAGACTATAACAACTATAACAGATGCCGTAGTTTAATGATGACTAAATATTCAATTACACAATATTGATTCACATTACCTACCATAATCATGTGATGTGGTTTCATTATATTCCGTACAGTTATGGTGGCTATAGCAGCGTTTAGACAGCCACAAATTGTCTGGGCAGAGACTAGACCGAGTACAGTTCACAGAGATTATATGCTTTATTTAGAGTAAGCTGCCATGTGGGCATGAAGCCTTCCCACTTTGTGTGACTATCTTGATAAGAAAATATTTGAATCTCTGAACTACTGTGTGCTACTATTTAATGGGAGAGATGTGTCTTATCAGTTGATAAAAATGTTCATCTAAATTATGCCAACTGATAGTCATGTTTTTATAAAATATTTCAATGTCTAGGTCACTGTTTAAAGAGATTAGAAGGAGACTCAATGTTCAATGATGTCACTATCATAAAGGCACCTCTTGCGAAAATGAAAAATGCCGACTGCAGTCTTCACTAGGGTTGAACTCCAATTCGACCCCGGGTTCAGCAGTTTATGCCCACAGATGGCTACAACAACGTCATTGGTTGCCCAGCTTTCACTGAAATTGCGACCTAGCAGACTGTCGTAGACACGAACAGAGTCAACCCGTGTTCAAGTACAACTCGTGTAAACGGAAAGTTTAAAAATCCCCTTATTATCAGATTTATGCCTGGTTTTTGTTTCATAAATATATCCTGAGATTAAAAGTTTATTTATAAGCATTATAAGAAACCAAGTTCTCAGATAAAATCTCCAGCTAAAATGGTTAAACTGTTGCTGTTAATATTATAAGAATGTTAGATTTATGGTTGTGGCCCTGTTGCCTTTTTGAGAGTTTGGTATATGATTGTAGTGAAACAGAGCTCCATGTAAGGATAATGTTGGAACAGAAAAAAAAAACATTTTTTTTAACATAATATTTTCCATTGGCTTTCAGTAAACTTATAAATTATGGGCCCTGGTCTAATCTATGCTTTTGTTCAGTTAAAACATCGGTCTCAAATATTTTTTCATGTATTTTGAAATGAAATATTTGAATGTCTGGGCCATAGTTTAATGTGAGGTTTGTCTAATCAGTTATAACTAGTAATGGACTATTATTATGAATGAACTCATTGATTACATTATCTCTAACATAGATCATATTTTATTGAATGAAATGCAATTCAGCTTGCCTAATGACCCTTGACCTGTGTAAATAAGGCAGGTCATGTTAGGTCATTGTATATGATAATAATCTGTGACATTATCTGGTTTATTATTTGGGACAATCTAGGCTATTATTAAATATTATGTAATTATCTTTTTTCCTAAAATTTTTATCATAAAATTCTAGTTTTGCTGCCTATCCTAATAAATTGTAACTATCCCATCCATTCTACTTGTATGTCATTCAAATCTTATACTTGGATATATCCTGTCTGCACCTACTTTTTTTTTTGTTCACTTGTGTCGGGCACTGTTTAAACAATGGACACAAGGAAAAATGTTACATAGACTGCAGTAGATTTCAAATCGATGGATAAAATTATGAAATTCATAAAGAATTCAATATATTGTATAAACTTCTTTGCAATTTCTTGAAGTGAAATCTACACCTTGCCTCCTTAGGCTGTTAAAGTTTTTGAATTTGAAATATAAAGTCAATGTAATGAGATAGAAAGATAACAGTCTAAGATTAATGATAGTCATATTATAGGTTAAATATAAGGGTATCTGTTTTGTGTACTGTCTCGTTTGAACAATATGAATGAAGATAAAACATGAATGAAATGATTTTTTTATGTTCTTCCGTCTGTAAATATGGACAGTGGTATGTAGAGTACATTCAGTTAAAACAGCAGAAACAACCATGCATATAAAACAGACAAATCTCCATGAGGCAGACAAAAGTTTTGAATAGAATATAATGACAAAGCCAGCACTGTGTGCTGTTGTATTTTATTTTAAAAATATGTTTTGTTTTGTCTTCAGGGAGCCACTTTAATGACTCATTAATCAGTAGAAAACAAAATAGAGCTTATTTTGGAGTGTGCATTGGGATTTCTGTCTCTTGTCCTACTCACTTTCGCTTTCGTTGACTTCATAGATTATTTTGTTTAAATGAAAAGAAGATGTAAGTGAATTAATGAAGATATTAAGTGTGTATGATCTGTTTAAATGACGTTGAAGACCTGTGACCTTAGGTTGCTCCCCATGACTGGAATCAAACAATAATGAAAATCAGAATTGTCTGAACTATTCTACGATATTGCTAGTATCCTAACTAAGATAAACAGTTCCCAACATTTGAATAAAACATAAAGATAGTTTAAGCCACTTGAGAGATAAACTACCACACTACAGTCAAGTTTATCTTGTCTAATACGAGCACCTGTATTATCAACTCCTGTTTTACAATTTAAAAATATTGATTCTCTAATCTCAAGTACCTTGAAATTATCAGAAATAAACACCTTGTTTACAGTCTAGCATTTTTTAATTGATAAGCTCCTGCATTTTATGGGAACATAAACACGTTTTTTTTATAGACTAATTATCTAAAATTATCAATTTGGTTAATTGAAAAGTTTTTAATGTTTTATAGGTAGAGATATTCAGAAATTTTATCAAAGTTTCTTTTGTTTTGCCAATTTGATTATTTCCAAATTTGAAATAACTTTCATAAGTATTTTGATGTCAAAGGGTACAGAATAAAGTAGTATATGATTTTAAGTGCTAGGTCTTCCATTTTTCATTTCACCAATTTAGTATTTTTCAAATCTAAAATATAAGATTACATAAGAACATTTTATGGGAACATGAAAAGGTCGTTTTTTTATACGCCCACACATAATATGGGCGTATATTGTAATCACCCTGTCGGTCCGTCCGTCCGTTCACATTTGGTTCATGCTCACTCTACAGGCTACAATTCTTTACAGATTCTTTTGATTTTGTGTGTCAATGTCATTATGAAGATCCCTCATGATAACTCATACTCAATATTATTCAGTATCGCCCTATATATAAGAAGTGTATGACGGAAGGTTGAATATTTCATACTGGTGATTGTTACTGTACAGCTAAATATTTTTATTCAAAATCAAAGCTGCCATTGGGCATATATTACCTTGCCTGGCAAGCTATCTTTTGACTAATTATCTAAAATTATCAATTTGGTTAATTGAAAAAGTTTTTAATGTTTTGTAGGCAGAGATATTAAGAAATTTTATCAAAGTTTCTTTTGTTTTGCCAATTTAATTATTTCCAAATTTGAAAAAACTTTCATAAGCATTTTGATTTCAAAGGGTACAGAATACAATAGTATATAATTTTAAGTGCTCGGTCTTTCAGACCGAAATTTTTTGATTTCACCAATTTAGTATTTTAAATCTCAAATATAAGATTAAAAAAGAAATGAAACTTTTTTGTGGTTTAAAGGCAAAGAAATATTATTGAAATTTGTTTTGCCAATATGACTATTTCCACGTGAAAATTTAGAGTTATATAAGTTGAATTAAAGTGCACAGCTAAATAACCTGTTATACCATGATATAACATGTGAAATATCAGCGAATGTTAAGACGGTACGAAACACCTGTGTGACTTTATATTTATCATGATTCAACACTTTTTGAATGATTTATGAAAATCACCGTGTGCTATTGCCTTTTATGGAAATTTTCCTTTGAAAATCTGATACTTTTAAAATTTTTGACACGCTGCCGTGAAGATTGTGAATTTGATATCCCTAATTTATTTTCTAAAAAATTTGAAATTCTTTAGTTGAAAAACGATAAATTTGTTATTTGTTATTTGAGTAATATAACGGTAAAATATAAAGTGCCGTTATGTATTGTTCTGACTGATCCATCTATATCAATGCAGCAGTGAAGGAATTTAAAGCCATTGTCCTCTATAGTGTAAAGTTATAAAGAACATTTTTGAATAAATTAAAATATGATAGGATTACAGTTAAAGTCCAAGGGTGGGGATATCTCCAATTTTTTTACATTTTATAATAGTGTATTATTTTCTATAGAGTATTTGTTAAGCCACCTTAGAACTTGTTTTTCAATAGTTTTATGCATGTATTATTTTTACATAAAATTATGACTTTGTTGCTTTGTGATTTTGTAAATTTTCGGTTACACCTTAACATTTAATGATATATCAACTATTTACTGCTTAAATTGTGCAACAAAGTCACGTTTTCATTTTGTTCACACCGCTTGTGTTAAAAATAATGCAAAAAAAAAAAAACAGATGTTGATCTAAAACTGATAGGAGTTTAAAGGGAAGCTGTTGTGGCATTCCAATTTTCTCTTTGAAACAAGTTGGAGGGACTGGTAGAAAAAGTGTCAAGACAATTAATGGGAAAATAGAGGAACTCAGGAAATGCATGCTAAAGATTCCTTAATAATATATATATAGCCTAGGCTGATGTGAAATTTCCTTCATAACACACTACATAATGTAAACATCTGTTTTTTTCTGTCCCTAATCTCCATAATGATCACCAGTCATTTTATAACTCTAATAGTACATGACTGGCTAATAAGACAAAAACAACAGGCTTTCTGTAATCATTTTGTATAGTTTGGTGCCCTTTAAAGGAATTTATTTGTTAGTAAAGGAGACAAAGGAAACTGGCCCCCTCCCCCGATAGGTATGTGTCCTACATGGTCACCTCTGTATTATAATGGTAATGATATTGTGGTATAAAGACATTCTCGTGCTCAGTCAAGGGTAACTATATATTTGAATAGGGCTGGCTGTATATAGACACTTATTTTATTATTAGAAATTACAGTACCCCTGTTGTTTGCCTAGTCTTCTTAACTGCTGTCTCAAAACAAGTTCAAATCTGCTGAATCATTTTGTCAAGAAGTGGAGCATTACTTTGATAAAGTTTTAATTAAAATTTTGCTCTTTTTCAATGAAAATTGATTGAAACCTAATATGTAATCACAATACTTTCATAATTTGATTTACGTAAATCTAGTCATTTAAGACTTTTACAAGTAGTCCAGCCTACGTAACCTTCAGATGAGTGAAGTGATCAGACTCAGAATTGAAAGGGCAAAAAGTCTTGAATTTCTTTTAAAAAGATAGGCCTAACTAGTAAATATATTCTCTTAATCTATAGGTCTGTAATGTGCCATGTATTTCCTTTATCAGCAAATTTTTGGTTTCTTGAAATTCACTATTGAAATTTAAACTTTGTCACTTTTCTTTATCAGATTTTACTGATGTTACATTAGTCATTAACTGCAAGATATTTTTTTAAACTGATAAACCCCTTAAAGATTTAATCTTTTAAGATGTAATGAAACAAATTATAAAGTTATAGAGGGTAATTTTAGACTAAGAGACTATCCTTGAATTTCGTATTCACCGTTTATATGTCTTTAAACCAGTTCTACCAGCATTCAACGTACAAGTATATGTTATTTTACATGTTTACTGACAAGTAACTAAATTTTACATTACATAATTAACTTGTATATTTCATGATTTAAAAAAAATATTATGGTTATAAATTATCATTCTTTGACTTATTCACAATCTGATTAAAATGAAAAATCCTACTTTTTCTTTCCATATCTTATCTGAAGATGAAAAGTTTTTAAATTAAGTCATTTCTGAATTGAGCAATATTATATACAAATTAAACTGGGTATTACATGGTATGGTAGCCAACAACAATAAATTGCAACATGTAAAATTTTGGATTGCAGGCCACAGTCCATGAAATATCATTTCTTAAAACTATGTGGCCTATTTATCAATAAGAATAATTTGTTTATCATTTTAGGTACCTGGAAATGATCTGATTAAAACTTGTCAGAAAAAACGAGATTGTAAATGGGTAAGTAATTGGGACCTTTCTGGAATTTAAATTTGGGAAGTTTCAATTGAATCACCATGTATATCATGAATTGAAAAGACTGATGTATAATTTAACTTCATGTATACTATAATATTATGTGATAAGATAGGCAAGCCAAGAAAGAAGGCCTTGTTCTTCACGCTCGACTGAAAATGATAAAAAAAAATTGACCACAGCAAATGATCACACTGAATTCCATATCAAACTGTGATGCTTAAATAGGATTTTTGCACTGGAGAATAGCTGACTGCAGAAGATGACCACACCAAACTGCATGGCCTCCTGTAATATTCTAAAATAGTATTAATGTAAACCATTTTAGAGCTGAAAAATATGGTAAACTTGGAACATCTCTGGACTGATTGATTTGATTTGATATTTTCAGTGTTTGTATGTATGTGACAGAAGAGATGTAGAAAATTATACCGACCTTCAACAATGTAGAGTAGCCTGTCGGGTAAGGTTCCCTAAATTTTTAGCAAAAATAAACCTGAGGTTTAACTTTATCAGTGATATTGGTTGAAGGGGCTGAATAAAACATATTGGACAATAAACGATTGAGTGCTACAGGCTTTGTACGATTCTTTAACAGTCTTCATTAGCCCTATCAGGGCCAGAAAAGTAAGAGGTTAAACTCAATATGATTTCCAATGTTGTATGATTTGATTTCAGTATTGTTATGATAGATGGTGTAAATCTAGTTTAGGGGAAGTAACTCCAAGTTGTGATAGAGCATGTGGTTTTGTGAATCGTCTGTCGACTGTGAAGTCTGGATCTTGTCGTGATGTGTCTACACTGGTTGATTTTGAGTCTGCGTGTATTAAAGAGTGTGAGAATGATGGTGATTGTAGTCAAACTAAGAAATGTTGTCGACACGATTGTGGAGCAACTTGTCAAAAACCGATACCTGATGAGAGTAAGTAGGCCTACTGTTTTGTGAGAGGCCACTTTTTGCTAAAACTTTATACGCTTATGTAGAATTAAAAGACCTAGGCTTCATTTTCAATGTAAAACAGACAAATTGTTACGATTGAATTCTGAGATTAAAGTTCAAAGACCATCTTCCGACATATTTCATGATAGATTAATAATCCCTACACCTTATATGGAACAGACCTATTGAATCATCTTTGCATCGTATTGATTTTATTATCTGATCATTTAGAGTTACCTCCCCTACCTATTGATATAGAATTTCTAACCAATAAGAGAGGTGGTGTGAGTGTTAGATGGAAACGAGGTAAAATGGTGGATAACAGAAGGGAGTTAATCCAACCTGAATTATATATTATACAGTATTGGTCTAATTCGGCACACAATAAACGTCCACGGCACAGAATAGTGAGTAGACCATTATCACCTTCGTTAAAAAGAGCTTGCAGGCCTACCAGTAGTTTATACTAGGGTGAGCTGCTGAAGGAAAACCCATTTCAAGGCAATTTCATGTTTCAATCAGACTTTAAGCAATAGAAAAAAATGCTATTTTTGCTAAACCTATCATTAGAATTAGTGGCAGAATATAAAGGAATTATCAACCCCAAAAAATATATATAATAAAATGTCACTATGGGTCCACCAGCTAGCGTAGCACAATGTTTTAGAATGTGATTTTGACTATTTTCAGACTAGTGGGTTATCCTATGAAGTATTTAGAAATAGTCATAGATTAAAACATGGTAAAAAATATGAATTTAAAATATTATCTGTTAATATACATGGTTCTCCAGGCTTTACTCATGTTCATGATTATATAAAACGTAAGTTGTCTTATTTAACATGACATGAATTATTGTCACCCCTATCTGTCTGTTTGTCCTCAATTCTTTGTGAAATTAATGTGACCTACAATGCCTAGGACCTCATCATGATATATTTTACCCCCTGCTAGCTGGCTAACTTTAAAGTAGAGGGTTCAATCCCGGCATAAGTTGAGATAATAAGTCTTTGGACAATAAACTGAGACTATCCTGATCAGAAATATATAGCACAATTTAGCATTCATCACATCATTTGTCAACGAAGACTAACAATTTAGAGTTGATTATATTCCTTGATAATTTGAGATGTCTTCATTATTATTTTCATTTCAGCTATCAAGAAGCCATCTAAACCATTAAACCTACAAGTAATGAATGAAAAAGCTAGATATGGAAATAATATAGTTGATTTGAGAATATCATGGCAGCCACCAATTTTTACATCAGATTTACCCATTAAAAGATACCAGGTTTGTGGAATTTTAGTTTCTCTATTTCTTTAAATAGCAGGACAGTTAATTTGATTGTATTCTACAAAGTGACAAGAGATTGTGGTGATGAGTTTGCTGCTTTTAATCTTTTTCAGAATGGCATTTCAGCATGCAATAACAAATGTAAATAACTTAAAATATCACAAAAAGTGGCTTAATTTGAATCAAAATCGATGTTTGCTTTTGAATTGCTTCTTATATTTGTAATATTATAGGTGAATTGGTTAGAGGTACCTGATACATCAACTACATATATTAGACAAAAATTTAATAAAGAATCTTTACCACCAGTAAGTCATAACCTTGTTGAAATTGAAAAAACCATAGTACATAATTTTCCTCCTTCCATATTTCGTATATCATTTCACAGTCTTGAAGATTGAGTTGTCATCTGCCTGGTGCTGTTGCTTCATTCATAATGGTAAGATAAATGTTTGATTTCAAAGCAAATGATTTCTTATTCATTGGCTCATCGTTTCTGAGTGTATTATTGCTGCAGTCATGTAATTTTGGTTTTTCTGTGTTTCAGAATCAACATAGCTTTACTCTAAAAGACCTAGCTGCTGGTACCAAATATTTAATACAGGTTCGAGCCATTATTAAATTTAAAAGTAGAAGGTTCAAAGGTCGACCTGCTTCGTTACAAATAGAGACTTATTCTCCACCTTCTCCTGGAGGTTAGCAAACAAATATTATTTTTAATCTCAATCAAACTATTATTCTGTATAGCGGAATGTATTACTCACTTCTTAAATGCCCGTTAAAGTTCATAGCCATAAGTAGACTTAAGAAGTGTTTAACTCAGTATTCACTGAAGTTAGCACATCCATGTCTTTCTTTTAATCATAAATTTCAGCCACAAAACATGCATCTTTGAAAATAGAAAGTGGAATTTTCTAGTTTGAGGTCTATTTGAAGACTATTTACATATTTTGAAGACCCAAATCAACCCTCTAAAATGGAAAACCGTGCAGGATATGCATCTTTAAGACTTGGATATAGACACAATATCTGAGGTTGACAATACTCTTTAGTTAAGACAGTAGCAGAAAAGTAGGATGTAAAACTTCATTTGATATTTTACATATTTATATTGTGTATTTGTAGATGAGTTAGAGAGTTGGAGTGGAAGATATGGTCATGATGTCTATAATATTTCTATAATAGATTCATTTTATCATCAAGGTAGTTTGAAGTCAGTCATCACATGGAAATCAGGTAATTTTTCTTGGTTAAACTTCAATTTTCTCAGCCAATAGGTAAGAAAAAAATAAAATTCAAAATTACAATAATATGCCATGTACTGATATATACTTTTAATTTGTCATGTTCTTGACAATGGTCTGGAATTGTTTTTTAGATAAAATAAACAAATGATTATGATTTGATTCAAATGGAATGACAATCATTCAGGCTAATATTGGTTAATTTTATGTTTTGTAGCTGTAACATCAGAGAAATATATGTTATTCTGGAAAGCTGAAAATTGTGCCCAGTCTAATGATCATTCTAGTCATTTACAAGAAAACTCAGCCACAAGTCATGTAAGTTAACACTGAGTAAACTCTGTTGCCTTATCATTCAAAAAAAATTTCCCTTGTTAATTATTCAAGCAAATAGGGAACGAGGAAAAATTTTAATTTTGAAAGTTATACATGTATTTCCAAAATTGTGCTGAATTTTTCATTTTTTTTCTTTTCTAGAAATTAGAATTTGAGTTATATAATCTTCAATATGAATGTAGTTATGTAGTTAGAATTCATCCCGTAGATGTTAAAGCCATGATGGGGCTTCCCTCTGTTACTAATTTTAGAACACCTCAATGTTCGAAGGTCACAGTAAAAGGTCGGAAATCACCTGATTGTCCAGAAAACAGTAAGTCGTTGTTAGCCATGTTTCTTTAAATTCTCTTTGCTTATTGTTTTTTATACCTTAATTTTTCAATTTTCACATTACAATGAATAGAACTTGACTTAGCCTACCAACAGGACATCTTCCTGGTTTTGATGGAGGATTCAAGAAAGCATTTATAGGATTGTAAAGAGGTGTATCAGGGACATTGATAACATCAATTTGCACCATTCCAATATTCAGCCAGACATCTGTGGTTCTTGCAATGCCACTAAAGCTCAGAGTTTTAATGATGTCACTATCACACAAGCTGTATCTAAGAACCTTTATGATTGCTAGTTAATAAAATCTTTCATGAAACTTGAAGACCGACGTGTGACTGAAAATTGCAATGGTCTCCATTGGCGTTCCCATAACAACTTTCTTACGAATCAATCGTAAATATGTTTATTTCAGTAAAGCCTCCAGGTAAACCAAAGAATGTAACAGTAGAGATTTTAGGAGATCTATGTTCATCAATAATGATATTTGTTGAATGGAGTCCTGAACCATGGTCTGAAGATAAGAAGTTTGTTATTATGTGGGGAGCTAGTGTAGAATCAACCAAATCTCAAATTATTTATACCTCTAATCCTCATAAAACTATTTCTTCAGGGGTGAGATCTTGTTCTAATTACTCAATCATAATCAGCATGTCACATTACTTAAAGGAATAAAGATGTTTTCTACCTTTTTATGTGTACTTTCACCTTTTTTGGCTTCTTTTTGCATCATTCAGATTTCCATAAGATGTCTGTGGTTCTTGTGATTTCAGAAATGCTCATATACATGACATTTTTGCAAGCCTAATGTGAGTTGTAGATTCAAAGTTTTAAACAATATGTGGCATAGTTTCATGGGTTTTAAACTGTTTTCTCTCTGGTGTATTTCAGAATGTAAATAAAATGATATTATCACAAGTTGACTATTTAACTCATTATACTGTCCAGATTTCTATACAAACTAAATATGGTACAGGTCAGCCAGTTATGAAACATTTTAGTACACCAGCTTCAAACTGTTCTGGTACAACTTCATCACCAGGTGAGTCTTATATCTTTATGTACATGCAAAGGGTGGGACTTGACCTGTCAATCATATTACAACACACTAATGACCACTCCCAGTTTCAGTTATCCATCTTACATATGATCAGTTTTATGCCCATCATGTACAATCATTGGAACAATGGGATGGCTGATTTTAAGTACTTAAATGCAATACGTTCATTTCCCATCTCCAGAAATGGAAACTTTGTTCCACAGTATATCCATATTGTGCACTGTAAAATTGTTGCCAACTTGCCATGAACCAGTGTTATTATTTCTCTTATGTCTTTTAATGAAGTCTCTAAATTTGATTCTCAAGAATTGATGCTAATCATTACTTGTTTTTGATGATTATTTCAGATGTGTCTACCATTTTTACAACAAAAAGTGCCAAGATTTCTCAAAATGCCATAATAAATGTGAAAGCTACTAGTACAAGTGAAACTGTGAAAGTGTCAAATACTAAAAACAATGCAGCAACTTTACCTCAGTCAATATATTGTGTGTTTATCACAGTGATATTATTATTTTCTTCTCTTTGGTGCTAAATATTTACAAATTCATTATTCTTCATTAATATTCATGATAGCAAACTGAATATTCATTATTCTTCATTTATATTCATGTTTCCTTTTGAATATTCATGAATCCCTATCAGTATTCATGTTTCTTATTGTATATTCATTATTTCTCATCAATATTCATGATGCTCATCTTTTCTTCACAAACAATTATATGACTGTTACAGCATAAGATCCTTTCCTCAAGTCTTCATCTCTGGTGCTTTCTGAATATTCATAGTTCCTCATCAATATTCATTACTACTTAATATTCAATTTATATTTATATCATATTTATATCAATGCTTTCATTGACCACCTAAGTGCTTAGGAGATATCTATAATAATGAACTATAGTGGTTATATTTGCTTTACTCTCATGGCTGGCCAGTAGGAAATCAAAAGGTTTACTCAAAGGAATGTTTGTATGTATTTTAGTATATTAAATGGAAATATTCCAACAGATCATGACATCTGTTATTACACAGAATTTCAGGTTTTGTTTTAATATTTCTTATGTTTTAATGAGTGGATAAATCTTATCTTTAAATATGTAGGTGTTATATTTTGTTATTCATTTCATATCATTATTCTCATTTTCTACGTCTTTATATTTTATTGTCTATCCTTGGTATTTTCTATTCATTTTTACGCTTCTATTCATGAATCATCATCTTAAAAATTGGTTAACACCTAGATTATTTTGTATATAGATTATTTTATACTGTGTCATTTTCAACTTTTTGAAATCATCTGTTAAGAAATCGTTTGTTATATTGGAGTATTTGTTTATTATAAATTATAGAAAGTGCTAAAACTTGTGTTTATTTTTTATATTACGGTAATTGGTGATCAATTCTTTAATACAACCCAATGCATTGTTGGATCTCCCCTAAGGGAGGGCCCAGGTCTACTAATGAAACCCTAAGTCACCCATTAATTTGTTCTTCTTTGCCTTCGGGGTGTAAACTCTACTCATGCAATCCTGAGTCAACCCATTGCATTGTTGTATCCATCTCAGGTCTACCTGTCTAATGTCATGATCAGAGAACTGACCCAGCGATAATTAGGCAATAAGTTACAGCTAATGTAGATGTAATATATACAAACAAGCCATTAATTTTGATTTTCTAAATTTTAATTCAATTGATTGAAATAACAAAACAAATAAAGTACACTAACAACTTAAATAGGAACTTTTTATACACTTTGACTTTACACTAACAAACAATGTCAATGAACATGCATAGTTCTTATATTCACTTCACTAATTAATGTATTTTAATGGAAAGCATTACAAAAAATAAATATCCCTTTCCAATGAATTTTTAATCTGACAATATAAAACACTACTGGTGATGCTTACATTATAATATGTGGGATGAAAATGTGATTGTACAATAAGCATTGAGAGTCCTGACAGATATTCGTGCAGATTACAGAATGTGTCCATATTTCTGATCAAACCTGCATGTGCATCACTATTAATTCAGATTGACAAGTTGACTTAAAATGAAGAAAAAAAAGCCAATTCAGTGAGTCAGGGATAAAAGTGATATGATTTAAAAGAGCAGTAGTTTTAAACTTTAACCAGCAAAATTGTCTTATCATTTTTGAGGTCATGTTAAAAACTTGTTTGGATTCATTCACTTAAAAAATCTGTTACAAATCTATATAGTGAATCATGCCCTACGTGGTTGAGTGAAATGGTCGGTTATGTCCAGCTAAAGGCCTAAAGGATGTTCAGATTATTATGATCTCTTAAGACAAAATATATCTTTTTTTCATCACAATCCTCAAAATCTTAATGAGTGAATGATAATGTATGACAATGAATAATGCAGCTTGAGTATAAAATGTTTATTTATAATTGAACTTGACTTTAAGTAGATATTTCATTTTAATCTGTTTGGTATCGTAGACGATGTATTCATTATAATTGAGAGTGTAGCCAGCAGAATTCCTTACTTTAGTATCTACACCTTTACCTACTGGTACTACCACACCATCAGACCTATAATAGAATGAAATAATGAGTTTTACATCCTGGATTTTGCACCTGACTGGATTCAGGAAGGCTGACAATGCCAAGAGCGAAATTTTGTTAACAGTATATATATACTTACAGAGTTTTATTGCATGTTGGATCTGGTGCTACTTGTCCAGCACCTAGTACACTGTCTTTGCCTGGGGGTAGTTTATCAGCTTTATAATCAGCACTTAATAAAGTATTAACATTACCCAATGATACCTACAATATACAAATATTATATATTAATCCATATTACTTGAAACAAATATATATACAAAACCATCTTGTGATACAAATATTGACTGTGGGACTCTTTGAGGATATACAAAGCCATTTCAGAATTTAAAATACAAATATTCACCGTTACAACTCTCGTGATTTATGAGCTATTAACAATTTGATTGGCTGGGCTATTTTAAAACTAAACTGACCTCACACAGTAACAAAATACCAATATTTTTAGACCTGGATGTAAAACAATAGTTAGCACTTTTACTGGACATATCAGCAAAATATACACCTTTACCAAACTGAAAGAGAAAACAAAGTAGCATGTAAACATACCAATAGCTAGGGGAAATTTCTCAAAAACTTACCTTTTTAGTAGAGTTCTTCCTTTTCAGAAAAGTACTGATAATAAAGAATTGTATGATTCAAAGAGCTATTCTCACTAGCTTTGCATAATCAAAATCTGCAAATGAAAGGCAATCTACATTGATTTAATAAAGAGCCAGGAGATAATGACTATATATAACAGAGATACTGACCATATAACCAGTAACAGGAGCTTCTGGTGGTGCTATACGTAACCCTTGACTTAAAATACCAACCCAATTAGTCAATCTAGATCCATGCCATAATAACATTCTGAAAATAGATGAAGTCTAAGTTAAAGTATTTTTAAAACACTAGAAACATAGAGGTAAAGGTGTTAATTGTATAAGAGTGGATAAATCTACCATATTTATCTGCAACGTCTTCCATTTTATTATTGTATACTAATTAAAAGAAAAAAAAAGATAAGAACACCAATATTTCCGCAGGTAATTTTTCAAATAAAAATATTTTAGATAACATCATTAAATTCCACATAAAAGCAGGACAACATTTTCAATTCATTATAATATAGAGCATGGGCAAAGGAAAACATAAAACACATACCTGTTACCTAGGTCTTTATATTGTGAAGATTCACCATTTTTATCACATTTAAACACATCCAATAACTCCATTTTATATTGGTTATGTGTTTTAGCATGGGTGGACTGGAGATATTCATTACATATCTATAAATATAAACAGTATTCACTTAATTAATCTTTCATTAAGTAGGGCTACAATAAGTCTATACTGAGGCAGTCAAAGGCAGTAACTTTGGGCTGATTTCTTCACTATAAAATGCTTTTTTTGATTCCATTCATACAGATGCACAAAAATCAGTTCAAACGCTTCTTAACTACCTAAACCATTTGGGATTTGCTTATACCTTTTTTAAACTCAAACTTATTTAAGCAAATGCACAAAACTTTCACCATAACACTTAGTTTTACTTGGTTAATAGGCATATACTCCCATTTTAAGAATCCAATTAATCAAAGACCAGATAAAAAAAGCCTCTCAAATTGGCATAAGAAACACTGTGGACTAAAGATTATTCAATCTTAAAAATAGCAGCCTGTTTTCCAGCAACAATTAGGCAAGCCGTAACATTACCAAACCAAATCTTGCAGAAAATAAATACAGAAAGGAACAAACCTGATAGTCGGCATGTGTTTTGTCTAATGGATCTAATTCACATTTCAAACTATGATAATGTCTGTCCACAGGATTCTCACTCTTATCACCAGATTTTAATATATTGATAGCAATTTCTATATCACCTAGAGCCTACAATATAATAGTGATATCTGTTATAAATCATTAAATATATTGATAGCAATTTCTATATCACCTAAAGCCTACAATATAATAGATAATAATACAGGGATCTGCTAGATATAAATTAGGGCAGAGTTAACAGAGTTAACATTTACTTGATCTATAATAATAATAATAAAAATAATATATAAAGAGTTGACTGAAGAGCGCACAGCATGAAACTCTGAATTACAACATGTTTCAGGTTCCGTTTTAATATTTCTGAATCACTGTGAAAATAAATATTTCTATATCACCTAGGTATCTTACCTCTAACAGCTGTAATTTTTCTTTAACTTGAGGTTTTGTTCTAATGGCTGGAGGTGTTTTGAACCTGAAATCAAATTTTACTTATATGTATTGCAAAAATATCTGACAGAATAAAATTTTAGTTAACCAAGTCACTTTTCACAGTAGAAATCAAACATTAGGTTTGTCTGTAATTAAATCAGTCTTTATCATCTAGACTGAAACACATGAAACTTACCCAAAATCATGAGGAATTCTGGTGTAAAAATCATTACAAGCCTCAACTAATTTATGACCAAAATTATTACTATCTATTAAACCTTCTATAACCTTTAACGCCTGGTAGCCTGCTTTTATCTGAGTCTTGGTCAGTTTACCTGCAAATAAACAGATTAATGTTAATCTTGTACTAAAAAGGGTGGGGCGGAAGCTTAGATCAAATATGTTAGAAAGTTTCAAAGCTAAAAAAATACTAAATCAGATTGATCAAGAAGAATTCAAATAATCTGTAAGCTGATACAGCCTTTAATTTCAGATCTGCTCAAAGATCATTTAAGAAGAAAAGCAAGACAATCATTTACCTAATGGCGCTTTTTTGGCATCATATTTCATTTCCATGACAGCTTCTTCCATTTTCTTGATGTCACAGATTAATTCTACCAGATCCTAAAGGAAAACATAAGATAACAAAGAAATATCATAACCATGTCACAACTCGATTTCTAGACTTTCTACCAACTTGCCACTAATTCTTATAATTCTTTTACCAAGAGCAACAATCATCAACATCCCTACAAAAATCTGTTAAGATATTTAACATTAATCCCCAAAAATATGTCAACATAAGATGAGCTCTTATTTAAATTAAGTCTTATTTGTGCAGTATATCAATTGACGTGTACCTGTAAGGGTTTTTTAAGAGTAGAATCTGGGTATTTTGTATCTGAATCTTCTTTCTTTAAGGATGGTACAGCATCTACTTCATCTTCATTCTGTAATATCAAGAATTTGTATTGGGTTCGGTTCGATTGTAAAACCCTCTTTAAGCTTGTACTTTGGATTTATACTTGTGATGTAACTGTCTACCCATGGATTGTACTTTGTCTCTTCAAATAACAGACACAATTTCATTGTATACTACTCCTTAGTTTTATTACACACATACGTTTCAACAATCTACATTGTTATCTACAGGTGATGATGACAATGTAGATTGTTGAAACGTAGTGTGTAATAAAACTAAGGAGTAGTATACAATGAAATTGTGTTGCGTTATTTAATGTGATCTCTACCCCTAAATGTCGCTAAAGGATTATTACATATTTAAATGTGTTCCTTAGTTTTAACCAGGATAATAAATATTCATGATGTTATCTATCTTCAAACTGGATAAATCAACAAACTTGCATGAGGCAAATTTACATTTTGTTTCAGATACATACAAAACATGTGAGTATGGGCAATATATCACTCCTCTCTCTACTACAAAACATTTGAATAAAGTGAACAATGGTCCCATCCATGGTGATAAAAGGACGGAGTTTAAACAACGAAGTGGAATGTAATGTCAAATCCACTAATTTGATTATGAATTTGGAATTAGAAACAACAGCAACAATTAGATATTGATCTGTATAAATAAGAATCAAGCTGTTAATAAACTTACTGTTCCAGCATAGTCCATGGCTATCAAGTCATATTTACCACTGACTTTCTCGAACTCAGCTCTGTCATCCCAATCATTCTGAGTTTTATCTTTAAATCTACAAATATCAAGATATGAAAACAGTGAATAGTAGGTAAGAAATTCTCTTTTACTTCACTAATCTACCTAGTATCAGGGTTTGGAAGATCTGAGGTAAATAAAGAGGTTTAAACACCCTCGCATTTTCACAGCCAAGTTTTTCCGATATATTTTGATTGCCAAAAGCTGAGCTACATTCTCTGAAACAAAATGCATTGTGATCTCACCAATTCATTTTCCAAAATCTATTAATTCAAATCTGGTGTAAATCTGAATAAGAATTTGGTTCTTGATTTGAATAAACGCTCATTTTTGATGGTAAAGTGCTATGGAACAAATGTACTGCATATGGGGAGGGATTGGCATAAACTTTGACTTGTTTCTCAAACTTAACTTAAATTGTAGTATAATAAAAACGTAAAGTAGTAATAAAACATAGCATCTTTTGCAAATTTCTGGTGCAAATAAGATTACTCACTTTTTACAAAAGCTATTTTTAGCATTCATTAAATTTCCACCACAAGGTACCAAGTTACTTTGACCTTTGTAACCAACTCGACCCCACCTCTGCCAACAATAATAGGTTTTATTGCTATCCTCTTCTAACAGTTGTATTAAATAAAATTTATTGTTGTTATTTCCTAAATTTGTCTGAAAATGGAAAATTTCATAAAGATGTTTTCATAAAAAAAATTAACTTGGAAATCTTTTGATGGGGTCTTGGACAGAATTTCCATGTTTGTTCGATCCTGTCCTGGATGAGATGATACCATCTCAAGCAATGAGAAATTGGGAAGCTAGTACTTGTGTTTGCAAAATAACATTAATAGACTTTATGTCCATGTCTGCCATAAACTATTTTTCTCACAAGTAATTATCTTGCTGAGCTACATAACAGAAGACAAAAAAGGGGAAGTATACACTTGTGTTGCATTATTTAAAGTAGAATATAGTAATATTAGAAATATCTAGCTACCTGATTCAACATACAATCCCATACATCTTTAGATTCAATATAAACATGTGTTTTACTAGCTACAGGGCATTCATCATCTACAGGGGCTTCCCCTTTCTTTACTATTTTACGTACTGTAAATATATTTCATAATAGTATTTGAGCAACAAGAAACTTGTAATTCTACTAAAATTAAGGCTCTTTGATATATTAATCAGCTCTTGAGATAGTGACATCATATGCAGTTTCTCATTTCTATAATAACAGGAACCAAAGACATTGTAACAAATTGGAATGATGTAAATAGAAAAATAAACGTCCCTGATACACATAAAATAGCTATAAAACCTCTTTACAATGACCTTAAATATCCAAAGGATAAAAATAAATCATTGTACCATAATGCAAGAAAAAAAAATACCTACCTACTGACTTGGTTTCTTCTTCCACTTTACTAGCTTTCCCTCCAGATTTACCTGCTGATTTTCCAGCAGATTTACTCTTACTGGCTCTCCCTGATTTACCTGCAGAAGTTGAAGCATCTCCTGCTCCATTTGCTTCTCCATTGGACACAGACGGCTTAACATCATCTTCAGGTACATCTTTAAGCTCCACTGGATCTGAAAGGAAATAACATAGTTATATAGTTATGTGCTCGACAGGAATTTTTCATGACTGGGCCAACTACTTGTGCAATAAAAAGCCTTTACTCTACCAACCAATTGCCTGAACAGGCCACATGAAAAACAAAAGAAAAATATGAAGTTGAAAATATGATCATTAAAAATTCCACTAATACAGGACTGTAGATTTGGCTGTATTTTCCAGACCTGGCCTGAAGACCAACTCAAATGTCTGTTTTGGGGCAATGATCTCTCTAACAACTAATACAGCATGATCAATAATTGTAATATTACCTAATTTTGTTCTGCGTATTTTTCGTTCTACACCAGTATGTTGAGCTGTTTGTATCAACTTGACTGTGTCTATATCATATGTTCTATCTGTATTTCTACCAGGGCAATATGTCACTGATTTCTTTTTCCCCTTGCTAATATTCTCATTCTCTAGTTCTTGATTAATGAATGGTGGGTATGGATTCCAGTTATTTTTCTCATCTTCCCATTCCCAGATATAATAATCTGTAAGAAGATTTTAAACTATGAAACTACAATAACTTGATACAGGAGATGCAAATAAGGTTGAACGAAGCAGGTGCTTGATTAACTAGCTGCCCTTTTATCTCTCACTACCTAAACATAGGTAGAATTTTTTAGAGATTTTACAGTATCATAAAAAGAATTTATCTACTAGGACCAATAGGACTGGACTAAAGGTGATTTTCATTAATGTCGGGAAATTACTGAATAATACAAGAATTTATCCTACCACTTTCTTTAAAAAATGAGATAATGATAATGACTGCTGATGAATCCTGTGTCTTGGATCACTTATTGTAGGGTATTGTAAACCATTGATACCAAAATATCATATTCTAAATTCCATGCTCCAATATATATTGTAGAAAGGAGGAAGTATCTAGTAAGATATTTTAGCTTATTGTTTTAGACATTCTGCCATAATTTTATGTTGAGGTCTATGAACTAAGCATTACATAGTAGACAAATCCAATAATTATTTCATGTAACAAACATACCACCACCAGGTTTCTCTTTAACAGAACATCGAACTCTTCTCTCATATCCTGTCTTCTTATTCTTCTGTTTACCATCCTCTAGTTTTACAACCATTTTCACTTTTGGAGCTGCATCAAACTCAAACTAGAACACATACATGCTTATGTTATGGCACTCATGTTGTTTTATAGGAGCCCTAAAACGGAAAGTATTTTGAGACTTCTGCCTAGTCTAGTATTATTCTTTCTATTCAATGTTCATAGAGTTTTGCCAAAATTTAATTCATTTATAGCAGTGTGATGTGGGACCTTGAAAACTGAGGATTTAAATGAAGGTTAGATTTAGATAAGCCTACAATTAAATCTCTAAGCTTACCTGTTTATCTTTATTCATAAATGCCTCATTGATTTTCTTATTCAACTGTTTAGAAAATGGTGTCCAGACATTACCATCAGCTTCCCACTCCCAAAGTCCATCAAACTCTTCTGCAGCATCTCCACCCTCTTCAACTTTTATCTTCTTAGTTTTTAGTTCTGGTGCTGCCTCTGTGTTGGCTTAAAGAGACAATACAGGAAATGTAATTTAAATCCTACACTTCTGCGCCAAATTGGGCTAATGAAGATGAGTATGCCTAACACCATGCAATGCCAATGAGCGATATTTTGGTCGGACAGCCTTCTCTTTTTTTGATTTTCCAACATAAAATGGATTAATTTTCCTTAGAAATGTCCGATTCATGTTAATGACAAAACTTCCAGGGTAACACACGTACCATTATTAAAGTTTGACATTTGTTATAGGCACAGATACTACTGTAATCCCACACTTTCAGTTACAAAACAAAGAAATAGTTCAGGGTAAGAATGAATAAGCTGGAATGTCGACTATTATTTACAAACCTTTTCGTCTTTTTGGTGGCATTTTTTTTTATTCTAACCAACCTCGATTGTAGAAAGTATGAAATAATGTGTAATCAATTTAGATACAGCTGAAATATAATGTAAACAAACAGGCACTATTTCGATATAGCTGACAAGTTCTTGCCGGCATTGGCTTTTTAAAATTACAGAGCCTGAATATAACCGATACGAAAGAACACATTAGATTAATTTCTTTTAGAAACCTTAATTACAAATATAATTGGTTATATATTCCCGAAATGGTTGATAAATGGTCCTAAAACTTTATTTTTTTCCAAAACTTGAAACATAATTTGATTTGAAGAAATTTAGAAGATGACATTGTTTTGTTTTAGGCGATCAGAAATTTTTAAAGACAGGTCAAATATGGCGGGAAATCTAATTATAGAAACTTATGAAAGTAAGATGCTGTAAATAACCGATCAGTTCTTGGCTAGTACTGCGATCACTGCTTCAGAGGGTCGGTCTTCAACCGATATCCCTAATAATCAATGAAAAATTAAGTCGATTTAATGATTGGTGCGTTGTCAATCATAATATGAATAATATTTTAAGGGCCTTCTGCAGACTACAGGGTGTCTGACACTTACCATGTATCACGTGGTGTATTTCTTGATTGGTGAGATCATTGCCTTCATTACAGACATAGCCTTATGAAGATTATAATTATATGCTAGAATATGCCTACTTGTAAATTTGTTCAGCACCTCTTTTCCATCTTAACATCAACGTTCGTTTTCTTTAAAGTTATTTTGGTTTGAAAATGTTTGTTCATATTGAAACCATGACCAATGTATAGCATTAGGCCTACATGTATTTTGTTGAATTCAAACAAAGTAACCCATGAATAATTTGTTAACAGTTATCTCCCTTGAAGATGAGAATTGGAGGTTGGCGCCAAACTTGTTCGGCGGTCACAATATGTTCAGAAAATTCGAATATGCTACAATATTGTTCTTGAAACGTAAATCTTGACGGTCGCATTTTGAAATTCTGGTTGACGCTTATTCTAATTAGTTATTATACAGTGGTGTAACCTATTTTCGTGCATATAAGGATTCAACACCGAATTTCGTCAAAGTTAAACAAACGAATTTTTTTTTATGTCTTAGATGTTCATCAGATATTCTACAAAATAATTAAAATTGGTTTGTTTCGATTTTCTCTATGAAGTCTTTACTTTGACCCATATTTCATGAGTAACCAACTCGGCAACGGCGGCAGAATGCGTCACCTATTTTCGTGTAGGCCTACAATGTTTGATCTATAAATAAGTCTAGAAAAACACGTTGTATGGATACCGGGTGGTATATTTAACTTCTCTTAGTATTTATCTTTAATATCAATTCATTATAACTAGTGACAATTCCGTCAATGAAAAAGGTTATAGTAATACAATTATTTTCTCAAGTCAAATTCCGGTTGATATCACTCAGAATTATTACTGCGACAATGTATAATTACTGTCTGATATAAATGTTATATAATGCAGGTTAACGTGTTTTTTTTTTCAAGTTTATGTAAGTGCATTAAATAGCATTACATAAAATTTAATTTTTAAGTCCAATACACTACAGTGCTTTAATCTTAGTTCAGCATTTTTTTTTTTTGGTTTATCTTTCTTGAATCAATATCTTGTCGGAAATTGTCGGAGGGAAAAAGAATCGTTAGCTGGAAAAATTCAAACAGGGCGTCGACAATTCCATATCTTCATAATATAAAAGGTGGATATTCTAATGCCCCTAAAAATATTGCCTTCTAGGACTGATAATAAAGCATAGGCCGACATTGAAAATTCAATTAGATTACTACTGTTGTGAAAACATCTATAAATACAATACGGGGAGCCACGGTGGCTCAGTGAGTTAGACGCTTGCTCGCTGACCTAAAGGTCCAGGGTTCAATCTCGGCATAGGTCGAGATAATACCTTCGGATTTTACAACCTGGTTTTCCCCTGTCAGTGATGCAGGTAAGAGGGGCTGGTACGGAAAAAAAGCGTCTAGTGATGACCATTTTTGTTTGTACCAATCTAACTTAGCTAACTGTATTGTTTTCTACTACCGGCACAGTACTATTTGTATTGGTAGGCTATCGCAGATATCTGAAGTAGGACAGAATTTATCTATATATTATCATTGTATTTGGCCTAATTGTCTGATAAGATTTTTTGAAAGTTTATCAAATTTCCACTATCTAATCTAAAGCCATCATTTAAATTAAGTTGTCATGAGGTAGTGGACAAGATAAAACAATAGTTAACAATTATCAGTCTATTGACGATGACATGGGTTATTTTGATTTCTTGTTTACAAGCCCACGTAAAAATGTGGGCTTTATTGCCGTTGTCCCTGCCCATCGATATGTCAATCAATAAATCGAAGAAAAGATTCAAAAATGTTGGTGAATTACGTTAGAGTGTTTTATTTCCATGTAAGAACCATAAGTAGTTTCGTATGTCGAGTGGGTATGTTATTTTGCTCGCACACTATCTTCTAAGAAAGTCGCTTGATTGACAAATGGTTGAATCTCTTTCTCAATAGATATTATAACGTGTATAAGGACTAATCAAATACGGCCTTTATTCATTCACGCTGTGGTTCATATATGTTGACAAATCAAGTTCGGCCTACAATATTTAAAAAATTTTCGTGCACTACATAACTAAATCACATGTAAATATTAAAGATAAGCAGTGTTATATAAACCCAAGATTGATGACAGTACACCCATATCAGTCTTTGTAGTTGGAAAATCAAGTCAAAATGTGGTCTGTACAGGTTTTAGTGGTAGCTGTTGTAGTATCGGTCTGTACAGCTCACTTGTGCATGTTATCGCCACCTCAAAGAGGATCTCTTGTTGGTTTCAATAAAAAAGGTAATAGTAATGCAATTTTTTTCTCAGGTCAAATATCGGTTGATATCACTCAGAATTATTACTGTGTAATATACGACAATGTATAATTACTGTCTGATATAAATGTTATATAATGCAGGTTAACGTGTTTTTTTTTTCAAGTTTATGTAAGTGCATTAAATAGCATTACATAAAATTTGATTTTTAAGTCCAATACACTACAGTACTTTAATGTAGTCTTAGGTAACCTTTTTTTTTTTTGATTTATCTTTCTTGAATCAATATCTTGTCGGATGTCCGACGCTTTAAAAGAGCGGAACGAGGGCAAGAGAATCGTTAGCTGGAAAAATTCAAACAAAATTCCATATCTTCATAATATAAAAGGTGGATATTCTAATACCCCTAAAAATATTGGCTTCTAGGACTGATAATAAGGCATAGGCCGACATTGAAAATCCAATTAGATTACTACTGTTGTGAAAACATCTATAAATACAATACGGGGAGTCGCGGTGGCTCAGTGGGTTAGACGCTTGCTCGCTGACCTAAAGGTCCAGGGTTCAATCCCGGCATAGGTCGAGATAATACCTTCAGATTTTACAACCCGGTTTCCCCCAGTCAGTGATGCAGATAAGAGCGGCTGCTGGTATGGAAAAAAGCGTCGAGTCGTTCGGATGGGACATACAACCGAGGTCCCATGTGCTACAGGCTGCGTACGTAAAAAATCCCTCGACAGTTGAAAATCGAAAAAGAGTAGGCTAATGACGCGGTCCTGGAAACATTCTCTCATTGCAGCCTGCATGGAATTAGCCCATTATGGTGCAGAAAATTATGTCGTAAAACTCCATTCATTTCATTTCATTTTTTAAATACAATATGTCACTTTGTCGAACTATTATTTTAGGAGCTGATGACTGTTTCTTGATAAAAGGACCATGTGGTAAAAGACCTATTTCTTCAAACCCTATCTTGTTAAGGTAAATAGTTCAATCAAAATGATACACGAGTCCTATCCGTTAATCACATCACTCATTAAAGTCAGAGTAAGTAGGCGAACAACAGAAAAAAAAAATACTCGTGGATGTGGAATCACTCATGACAACCTTATAATAGAGTGAGTTTATGTAATGGAATGTCACGGAAGAAGTGGCCATTATCTGTATTATATGCCTTTTGGATTAAGTTCACTCTCTCAACCAGCCTAAAATATTTCAAGTATCGATCCCATGGTTACTCTTCAATATCATATATATTTATTTTTAAGAACAGAGGGCCCGTCCTTCCTTATTAGTTGTTTTACTAATACCGGTACTAATATATTTCAGAGGAAACCAAAATTTTACTGTAGTATTCCAAAAAAATTTAGATCATTGGGCCCAAGCCACTCCGGTAGGTTATCATTTTTACTCACAGGTTCCTTGTTTCAATTTGTGCATACCGTACTGTAGAAAACGTCCTAAGTGCACAGGAGTTTATCCATCGTATACTAGTACAAGGTTGCATCCGTCGTTATCTTCACAATGTCCAGCTATTATGAACTTGTTCTTAGGCATTAACCACCTTTCTTGTATCATGGAAGTTTATAAATGAAGCGTGTCAATGGATGTCAAGGTGCGTATACTCCAAGTAGTAATACACTTCTTTAAAATTTTACAGGGTATGTTTACCATCTCATTTGGTCCAGTAGATCAGACAAATGTAATTGCTACTATACCTGATATGGGCGAACCGTCTTTAACCCTGTATGCTATCAACATCACCATTCCCACTCTCACGTAAGTTTGATCTAGTATCAATAGATAATAATCAGTAGTACAGAATCTAGTAATTAATACAAGTATACATTATAAACAATATTAGTTATGTTGACTCTCCGAAGGGGGCGTCGGTTTGACAAATCCAGTAGCAAGATGGCACGAGTTGTTTTTGATTCGATCGCAGTTAAACCTTTTCCTTCTCTCGAGTACATGTAATTGTCATATGGTAATTTCTTTTTTAGAACTGGTTCTTATGTAATACAGGTAAGTTAAAATAATATTTTATACAACGTTCTTGATCTATGTTGGATAATTTAAACTAGTTATCGCCCTTGAATTAAAAGAATCTTTGTTGTCAATTCAGCAGTTTTGAATATTTCATCGACATGCGACTTGACTTTCGTTTTCCAGTGATATTTTCATGAATTTTAACGAAAATTTCTGGTTACCCACCGAATAAAGAAGCGGATGAACGTGGACTACATGTGTATGCACGGTATGGAGTTTCAAGGAGGCTACTTCTGTTTCATTAAGAACAATCAAAATTGATAAAGATATGTTTTCTATTGTAGACACAGTATGTGACAAAGAATCCACAGGCACCACCAACTTTCTACCAATGTGGAGATGTGACGTTGGTGTAAGATATCACTAACTTCAACAAAATACTCATACTGCAACAATCATTGAAAACATGAACACCAGGCCATGTGGATCCCCAGCCCGTCAAATCTGGCCCTAGCCGTTCCTCAGACGTGGTATTAGGATGGTATATAGGTCTAAACGGAACGATATCCCATCAGTATATCACGTCCGAGAAACGTTTAGGGCCCCAAATCACAAACTAACGCTTTGATATTCTTTTCATTTTATTTACCATATAGATTCATTGTAGTCGATTGTTATTTAATTTACAAGTAACATCTCATTTAAATTTCCGATTAACCGGCTACGACTCATGTATTTTATTTTGTGCTCTATTGAAATACAATTGCTGTAGATGTACATTCAGATATTAATAGCTTACAAGTATTTTGCTATTGAATTGTGAAAATAATTATGAATTAAATACTCACCTAGTGCTAAGCTACAGCGGTGTTTTATCTCAATAAAAAAGGGGTGTTTCTGAACCATATTGGGCTGATAATGAAAGTGGAAAACGTAATACAGTTTGAAGTATTTTTTTCAGGCACCAATAAGCTGCTCTTAGCGGAGTCTTAATACGCTATCTGTACCGGTATGGTAAATACTGGGCCTGGAACGTGATGTTCACATCTTCAACAATAACATATCAAAATCTAAAATAGCAAACGTATCCCAGCTTAGAGTAGCCAAGTAAACCAACTAGAGGCCCATGCAGGGACCACGACAGAACAATGGTTCATCCTTTACATTAACCAGGAAAGTCAAAGAAGTTTGGTGCCTCAAAATTAAAAACTAAATTTATCAATACAGCAGAAACATGCCGGATATTCGATATGATAACATGACGGATTGTCTGCTGTTTTCTCCCATCAGGAATATTCCAGGATAGCTATTGGAAAATTTCCTAACTGTCCGATATTTCCCTGTCGGAATTGCAGGTGACATAGGTTAGCTTCTAAATTTATAAAATAAAATAATATGAGACTATCTCCCTTGCTATAGTTTGACAGTCTCTTTTGTCGTGTAGGATGCCAGACTACTTTCATACGTCACTAAAATACGATCCGAACTCGGGCTCTAATTTATCAATCCATATAATATCTGATCCATGACGAACTATGGTTTCAAAATAGTGATGAAATTAACAGTAGTACATTAGGATAGGTAGAATACGTCTAACATTCCGTATTGGGTCAGTGGGTTTGCTAAAGGCGAAGCAACACATTCTACCCTGATGATCGTATTATTATATTTATGAAGACAATGAGCTGCTTCCAGTCAAAAAAGGTAAGACGGTTTTTATTCCCGTACTATCGTTTTGATTTAATATTTGTGTTGACATATATCCAGATATACCATGGCTGCTTACTGCGTATTGTCTCATATAGGAGAGTAATGGTAATGGTAACAAGTTTGTGGTTTTCCTAGGAATCATGGGGAAGCCGGTCCCGCGTTCTGTGGCCCGGCCACCGTAGAAACGCCACTGTCTAAAATAATATCAACTAATTATCATTTATTTACGTTTCTGTTGATAAAGAAGCTATTTGTACTTCTGGGTCGTATTCTGGCCTGGTCACTTTGATAATAATAGTCCCCATCGGATGATCTCTGTTCTCATCTACAGCCTTATTCTTTCTTATAATAAAGAAAGATTACTAATTACTACAAGGCAATCAGACAATTTATATGTTAGTTTTCATTAAATTACGTATAATATCATTATAGTCCCCAATGTGTGCTGAGTCTGGCAATATTTACGAGGCACACTGATATTTTACTTAAAGTAGCCATGTCAACATTCAAATACCACATTTTTTAAAATGATTTTGTCATGTTGTGATTAAACCTTTACCAATTGGTCCAGAGGATCGGGATACACATCGGGTCGGAAAATAGCAAGAAATATTAAGCTATTCGCGCGAATAGATAACTATATCTAAGCGCTAATTAAACACTTTTTGGATGTTTTTTGCTAGTTGATATGTCGTCACATAATGGAATAATACATTTACACCAATGTAAAGTCACTGCTTGTTTTATCAATGTTATGAGTCATGCAAATAGAAGAGTCAATTTAGAGGAGAAAATATGAAACATTTTCAATAACTAGATTATCAAAGTGCTCTTTTGCTTCGTCTACTGTTTTAGTCTTACGTAAGCAAATCGATAACATAGAATGATTTACAGGAAACCAGAAAAACCCACCTACTCTACAGATCACGTCAACAAAACATTTACATTAATTTGTCTGATGGCCATATTGGATTTCCATAAAAGAGCCGTTTGGGAAACGTTTAATTAAGGCAATAATGAAGATAATAAAAGACCTGTTCATTTTCAACATAACTTGTATATAAGTAGACGTTTTCCCATTTACAATGATTCCTGGAATTCAACTTAGAAAACACTAATATCTGCATTATAAACAGGCATTCAATCATCTAAATATCATAACTATAACTAATACCAATTAATATAACTAATATCAACAGATCGAACTAAAGAGCTTCAGACAGGTGTTCCGGAAATGAATATCCGCCATTCTGTGTCTCTTTTTGTAATGTGAAATGAATTGTCAACAACGTTTATGGCGTCAACAACATTTTCGATTATTCCCACCCTTTATATAATCCCGGAAACTTCTACCATTTCTTACCATTCCTTAACATTCGGCTCAATCTTCGTTAGTTTCCGTGAGTAAAACCAACAGCATTCTAGTTAATACGAGTACTCGTTTATTGTACTGGAAAATCGTGCAAATGATAACAATAACGATTGTGTTGAGTTTGAGAGTGAAAAGTTTTAAAAGTTCTGGACATAAATTATAATCTTGACAACCACTAAAATTAGAAAGTAGGTCAACAGCGTAATGACTATGGCATAATAAAATAAATTGTATGTAATAAATTTTGACAGACCACTAGTAACTAACAAACACCATCATAAACAATGAAACGCTTCGTTTTAAGTCAGAAGTCAGAGACAACGCATCATCATTTCATAATTAATAAGCAAGCCCCATCCATTACCCGAAGGATCTACGTGACTCTCTGGACAAACCACAAACTGGCACGTTGGTCGTATTGAGTGGGTTGGTTGTAGATCAAAGGTTTACCCCCACCTCCAACAGATGCTGTTACTACAGAAGCTGATAATACACTAGGTTTTCTTTATGTTGTAAATTGTAGACTAGGTAGTTGTTGGTAGATGACAAGTTAACTTCCGATTCCAGCAGACGCTGATATCGTAGATTAGGTAGTTGTTGGTAGATGACAAGTTAACGTCCGCTTCAAAGCAACTGATACGACTGACTAGGTTGTTGTTGGTAGATGACAAGTTAACGTCCGCTTCAAAGCAACTGATACGACTGACTAGGTTGTTGTTGATAGATGACAAGTTAACGTCCGCTTCAAAGCAACTGATACGACTGATTAGGTAGTTGTTGGTAGATGACAAGTTAACGCCCACTTCCAGTGGAAGCTGATATTTGCAATGATTTTTATATTTTTGGTGTTGGAAAACTAATGTACAGATTTAAGCGAAATAGAAACAAAGTTGTAGAGAAATATGTCCACTGCTTATTCTGAAGGCTTCAACTGAAAATAATATGGAACTGTTAAAGCCAAACACTACAAGAATTTTAAATTCCTCACTCAAAAAATAGCACACTCCGTTTTTTTTTATATAACTTAAGAAGTGTTACACACAGTTATCGGATCTACACCGAATGACGTTTTAAAATCTTTCATACATGCCAAAAACATAGTTTAACAACGGATCTTTTCACTATAACATTTTATGTATATATAATATAGAATGGCCTTTTGTCGAAACAGATAGTTTTTGACAGTAAACATGTTTTTTTCTGTATCTAAAATGAAGATAACTAAATACCATGTGGGATATTGACGTAATATGTAATCAGTGGTTTCAAATAAAACAAAACGCCAACTGGAATAACTTCTGAACAAGATAGGTAGGCATGTTTTATTCTATGGTTTCATTTAAAAACTATTTTGTTCTGAAATGACCACCAATTCTTTCCCATTCGAAGATCACTAACCAACGTGTATATCGACTGTTGTTTTGCTTTTTTGCCAGTTCCGCCATTTTTGTTAAACGGATAGAACTTGTGTATTGGTTTAATTTTCTATTATTAGGCACACTATATCAGAACAGTCGTGTTAATTGAATGTATGTGGAACGATTCATATATCTTATGCCCATCCTTTTGATCTGAAAGATCCGGTAATAAGCTCGTAAGCTCGTTAGCACGACTTTATAATGAGCTTATTTTCTTTACAATTTAAATTGCTAAAATCAATATTAGTGTTCATGTGCATTATTTTGAATGTTGATCGAGATTTGTGATGAACCTTTTATGTTCTTGTATATTTTCTTTGACATTAAAACCTGCCTCATTACACTCTATAAGGCAGCATCTGCCATTTCATTTCCGTTACTAGATAATAGCAGCCTGTCTCGAATGCTGGTAGAAATGATCATTTGAACGGAAGATGTTTTCCATGTAAAATAAGGACGAGTGTTAATTTCTATCATCATAGTCATTAATTTTACATTAAGATTAGTATTATTAAAGGGATTGTTAAGAGGTTTTCTAATCGAAAATATGCAGGTATCGCATAAGGTCCTTTGCGATTAGTGACGTCAACAAACACTTAGTTTTAGTGCAATTGCAGAAACCGCAGATGTCTGATTGGAATGGTGCAAATTGCTGCTATCAGTGTCCCCGGTACACATAAAATTTTTTGAAAACCTCTTTACAATCCCTTTAATCCCGCAAACAAAATGTTGAGGTAACTGCCATACGATCTTATACGTCAATGATATTAAGTGTAAAAATGTCGGTCAGGTGAAAGGATGGTCGTGAGACGGTGTATATTATAGGAATATTAGAATGAAGTGAAGGTTTAAATCAGGTATATAAGTTGAAACTAATGGTCTAATCGTGTAAATAATATAATAATACTGTCTGTACATAATCATTGTTTTCAACTTTAATTTCTTTAGTTTTCTGTATCGCTGTTAATTTTGTGGTAATTTTTGAAAAGCAGAAGTTATTTCACCTTTGATATGCAACGTTTGTCCAGGAGTGTCTATTTCATTTGTGTACTTGTGTAGGTTCGCAAAGTACTTTTTGTAACCTTCATGCATGTGAGAGTCAAAACGGGACACGTGTGAAGATGCTAATCGGACCAATAAGCCTATAATGTTGTCTGCTTTCTTGTTTTTGCAAGTAACTTCCGGTTTGATTTTTTATTGCTGAAAGCAGATACCCGTTACGGGGGTCGTCTAGAAACATAAATTCATAATTGAAGCCATTTCAATCTTCTTTAAAAGGAAAATGAGACTACTATGAAATCGGAAAAGAAACCAATTTTGTCTGTTTTCTAGTTTGTTCGAGTCACTCTCGACTGGAAAGACT